TGGACCTGAAACTGAATCCCGATCCAGCCGATCCCCTCGATCCCCTCAGCACTCACACCAGCATTCAGACCCAGGTCTGCCGGAGTCCCCGCTCGGTCACTGCTACTGCTTCTTTTACAAGGTACTTCCTGTCTTATGCACAGAGCAGGGCTTTCGCCAAAGGAAGGGGAAACACTATCAGTTACCAGGTAGCTCATCTGAATGTCCTTCTGCCTCCCCGCTCTTCTTAGGGGAAAGTTTCTCTTCCTGCAGCTCCTGTCGGGGTCCTTTTGACACTCCCACCGTCCAGGTGACACCCATTTCCACCCACAGATGTGCTGAACCGGACGGTCCATGCTGACTGACCACTGCCAGGTTTCTGCAGAGCCCTGAATCTCCTTTCCGGTGCTCCCCGCAGAGCGGCTTGGCACTCCAAACGAGTCCCCTGTGAGCTCGCTGGGACCACACACAAGCTGCTGCTGCTTCTCACATAGCCATGCGGTCAGACCGGCGGAGAGGAAACCTAACTTCTGTCCCGGGGGCACGCATCTCTGGTGCAGGGCTTAGCCCTGGATCTCTGGATGCCTGAGGGGCCCTTGCTCATAGTCTGTCATCTTGTGCACGGATAAACCCGAATCACTCGAAAAACAATGGCTTTGGTCTCCCCAGGCTCTAAGGTGCTTACGGGGCCGGCAGCAGACACAGCCCTGTTGGTCCCACACGCCTGCCTGGCTTGGGGTTGCACAGCACTCTCCGTCGGTGACCACGGCTATCGGGCTCTGCTCACTGGTGGCTACAGAGGCTCCTCACCGAACGGGGCTTTTTCTGCATCCCCAGCACGGGGAGCGGGGCCCCTCAAAGCTCCCCAGTTCCCTCCACTGGGCATGTGGAAACGTGACAGCCTGGAGGTGGCGACCATTCCATTTGCAGGTTCTGGGCCACTGGGATGCGACGCTAGAACCGCCAGGTCTGGAGGGGGCTCCCGGCAGCAAGAAGGGCAGGACCGCAGTCAGAGGGCTCAGGGCTGCCCCTCGGGCTCTCGTTCTCCCTCCATTTCCCTCCAACTGCACAGGCCACAGAAGGAGCCCAGCTGGCCGAGGGGAGCCTGATGCGTGTCCCCTGTTACCCTCAAGATCCACTTCAGTAATGAATACAGATACATCAAAAGGGCCATCTCCCAGGTTGAAAGCCAAAACGTTTCTTTTGGCACCAGGTTTCCTGCCTATCCCATAAATCGCTACGGTAGTGGCTGGCTCAGTGGTTCGGAACACACAGAAATCAGGAATGGTTCCAGATTCGTGAATGGCCGGATCTTAGGAATCATTTAAGTGAGATGGTGCTATAATGGCTATTTTGTGATAGTTTTCCCAGGGGAGGGTTCCGAAATTTCCTTTGTCCATATTAGAATCATAAAGTCACCTTCTCTGCATGGAGGACTTTCATCACACTGGGACTCTTGATATAGTCACTAATGGGAAAATGGCATCTTAGAAGCTGTGCCCTCTGAGCAAACGTCTGGCTTTGTCAACTGCTCCAGTGGGATCCAGTGCGGCTTGGCTACCGGCATAATCAAGACCAATATGATGCGCGAAATCCTGTCACCCCAATCACTGGCAGTGACAGCCACTTCTAGGGCCGAAGACTTTCACACGGGAACGGCTAGGGTCAAGACCGAGGGCAAGACCTCAGATGTGGCTTCCGAGCAGGGGGTCTGGCTTGTCTGACAAGGATCAGACACCACAGCTGTACCGCATTCAGTGAGGACAGCGAACTTACAGACGGCTCTTGACTCGAAAGCTCGTTTCTGATCTAGATTCTTTGATAAAGTCAGTCCTGCCCTACAGTGATTTTGCTGAACTCTGGAGCATGCTGGGCTCTCTGGGAAGCAGACTCTGAAGTTTCGAGTGTCTGACTCAGGACTGTCCTTGGGATCAAAAGCTGGGGGAGGGAGAGAAAGAAACGGACTGTGCAGATGAAGGAGTTTCTGCTGCGAGGCGGGCCTGTGCACGGTCTGCGCTGGAGCCAGAACACCCCCTCCTCTCTCAGGCCTGCATGTGGGCCGGCTCTGGAGACAGGATTTGCTGCAGCCGACGTGATCCTCCAAGAGGCTAAGAACTGAAGGTTCCTTGCCAACAAGACCCGGTCCAGCACGCAGTCCTGCGCTGCAGGAGGATCGAGGCGGTGCATCTCAGAACCATGACAGCTGTTTTCTGGACCTTTCAAGTTTGAGTCTTTTTGTTTGTGTGTTCCTCCTCTACCTGCCCAGATACTGGGTCATCACGATACAACAGAAATATAAAGATGGAGTCTCAAGCACTTTGGGGCCATATTACCTTGGCAGAATATATTATGAGGTTCTGATTTCCTTCCCCCGCAAAATGCAAACACACAAAAACTCCACATACAATTCTAAGGGACCCACACACCCTCATAACTGTCATGGACCTCAGGTTAAGAAGTCCTAGTAACCTGGCAAGGAATATTTAACAGACCACTGAAGAGCTTAGTAAGGGAAAAAGGAAAATCAATTAAAGGTAGTTTCCCCCCTTGCTATTTCGTAGGTATCTGTTCTATTAGGTTTTCTAAAATCCCCTCTAGGATTATCACTGACCTACATAATAGACATTTCACAAACAAGAAGATGATAGCTGATAACCCATACAAAAGCCTTTAAACTTTTGACGTGAGACCAAAGAACAGGGATCTCTCAATTCTGTCATCCGCAGCGAGCAAGCAGATGAAGGACTGGAATGGGTTCTGGTGTCCCCGGGGTGGGGGCGCCGGCCAGAACCAGAGGCTCGGTGAGGTCCCACCCCTGAATCTCTAGCTCCCTTTCGTCCGTGCTGTTTTAAGTCTTCCTCAGCAAGCAAAACCGGAAACGGCCCAGGTCTCCAGAAGCTTCCCCACCCTGTCCCCGTGTCCCTTCTTGCTTTAAGAGCCATGGAAGTAACAGCTAGATATTTAGCCAATTCAGAGCCTGATTCAAAAGGGCTCTTAGGAAGCAAGTATTCCCCAGAAGCCAGGCTCAGAGAATGACGCGCAGGGTACCACTCAATCAAATGCACGCCACCGCCACAGCTCTGCCTCTGTACTGGGCCTTCCTCCCAGCCCTTATAGGGGTATGAGGCCTCAGCTAAATTATCCCAGAAGGACCAGTGTTCAACTTACTTTTCCTTTTATTCAAGTAAATTCTACCCCCAACAAGGGGCTTGAACTCACAACCCCAAAATCAAGAGTCACATGCTCTACTGACTGAGCCAGTCAGGCCCCCTTGAACTTACTTTTTTTTTTTTTTAAAAGCATTATTTATTCGAGAGAGGGGGAGAGCGAGCAGGGGGAGGGGCAGAGGGAGAGAGAGAATCTGAAGCCGACTCCCGGCTGAGCACAGAGCCTGATGAGGGACTCGATCCTGCAACCTGAGACCCGTGACCTGAGACTGTGACCTGAGCTGAAATCAGGAGTCGAACGCTCAACTGACTGAGCCACCCAGATGCCTCTGAACTTACTTTTTCCTCTAGCAATGACTTTGTTGTGTTATATCCTCCCATGTTTTCTGCAACCAAGTTTATAGAGTTTCAGCAAGGCAAACTGAAAACACTTGCAACCATGGGGATAAGAGTGGAGAGGATTTAAAGCAATGCAGGAGGATGTCTTACTTCCCATGTCACCTCTGATGGCAACGGACTGTATTACACATTAATCTGAGAAATTAAAATATAAACACACACTCTCTCTAGACCAGTGGTTCCCAACCAGGGATGGTTTTGCTCCCCAGGGGACAACCGGCAATGTCTGGAGACATTTTTGGTTGTCATCAGCTTGGTGGGGGTGGGTGCAGTGCTACCGGCAGGCCCTGGGCAGAGGCCAGAGGCTCCGCAGAACATCTAGGATACACAGCACGGCCCTCGCACCAAGAATCATCTGGCCTAAAACATCAAGGCCGAGAACCCTGCTCTAGCTGGTGTGAGAGCTATTTCCAGTTTGGTTCATTTCTGCGGTTCTGCCTCCCAGGTGAAGTGCACATGGTCCCGAGAGCTCACTGTCTGTTCCAACTATGTGTGAGCACTGGGAGTCTGGGCCCCGGCGGGGAGTGGAGGGGGTGGAGGTGTTGTCGGAGGCACCCTGAGGTGGTGGCGAGTGCTGGAGCTGGAGTCACAGCAGCAGGGAACAAAGGCGGAGAGAAGAGCTGCTCACAGGCGACCTCTGACGCTCCCTGAGGCTTTCCTTAAAGTGTGCTCCCCTGAGAAGAAGGAACACAATACAAACATTCCACACTAGGGAGACGTTCGAGTATGTTATGCTGCACTGGAATTTCCGTCAGCAGATCACACCATGTGAAACAAACGACCATGAATTCAGTCTAGCAACGACATCAAGAGAAAACGGGTGAGTCGGGAAAGCAGAACACAGAATCACAGGTACCCAGAGAATGACTGAATACAAGAGAGGGGAAGAGGGAGTGGCAGAGACGGCTGCATAAGGTCAAGGGTCAATCTTTTTTTTTTAAGATTTCCTTGAATACAGTTGTTTTAATATTCAAAAATTTTACAGATATTCAAAACACAGCTGAGGACCAAAAGTCAAAATGCCTTCTTCTTCAAAGAGTTTTTCTTTGGCAAACTTCGGAAGGCCGCAGGAAGGCAGACCCTTAGGGCGTGGGCATGTGGCTCAGGACTTCATAACGATTAACCTTTGGACTAACGGCCCCAGGTATATAAATGATTACACGTATGTACGCACCGCACCCTGCTGTTCTTTACTTCGGGGTGAGGAAACTAACTATGGCTTTTAATTCTTTTCAACACATTTACTTGCACTGAAGTTGTTCTTCTAAGACATTAAAAAGTGTGGAAAGGGAAGATGCCCAGACCAGGCGACTTTGGGGACTCCAAGCCAGAAACTACTCACCAAAGTGAATTCTAAGATAAATGCTACCTCTTCATCCGGAACTAAACGGTAAGCTTGGGAGGGAAGATTTGCCAAATATGAAAATGACAGAGGAGTGAAAGTAAGTAACTCACCGGGAATTATTGTGATGAATATTACACGCCCGGGCCATTAGCACCACGATAATTGGTCGAAAGGCTTTTCCTTTTCCATCAAAGTAGTATTCAGACATTTCCTTAAGTTCTGTTGTAGATATGAGTAGTTCCTGAAATGAAGTTTCTGTGTCAACACGGCATCATGATAGCAAAAAAGGCAACAGGATTTCTTCTACAAAACTGATTTGATCTCAGCGTGCTCGCTTGTACTCAGCACACTCATTTCACTCGAGAAATTCAATACTCCGTTGGAAAAGGTTCCAACATTTAAGGCCATAAACCTGGCTTGGCTGCCCTACGGCTGGGCCGCAGGTGATGCCTGGCCTGCCCGAGTGCTCAAAGGCCTAGGGCGACCCCAAAGACTCCGACAGACTCCAGGGAGGAACAGGGAAGCACGAGGTGGCCCAGGGACAAAAAAGGAACAGAGGCTGGTAGTCACTTGGAAGATGGAGGAGAGAGACAAAGACGAGCAGCGTGGGAGCCAATGAGGCGGCAGTTAGGGGGTGACTGGGGTATAGAGGCAAAGCTGTGCCTGGCTCAGCCGGATGTGTCCAAAGTTCACAGAGGAAGTTGAAGAGAGTTTGCCGATTGTCAGGAACTTAGAACTGAGTTGGGAAGAGACATTTTAAAAAAAAAAACATAAATGTTCTGAGTGGTAACTTGAGCAATGGCATAATTAAATTAAATGCAATACATTTTTTTTTAAAGATACAGTATTTATTGATATCAGACAGAATGAGAGAGAGAGAGCACAAGCAGAGAGAGAGAGAGAGAGAGAGAGAGAGAGAAGCAGGCTTTCTGATGAGCAAGGAGCCTGATGTGGGGTTCGATCCCAGGATCCTGGGATCACAACCTAAGCTAAAGGCAGACACTTAACTGACTGAGCCACCTAGGCGCCCCTAAATGCAGTAAATTAAAATAAATGCAGTAAAGGTTCAGAGAGGGGAGAAATCAGTGTGGGCTAGAAAACCAAATATTTAAAGGAGGACAGAAGCTTTGACATAGAACTAAGTAAGCAGGATTTTGATTCATGAAGGGGAAGGTGACCGTCTAAGTGATGGATGTGTGTTTGCTGTATGTGCCTCTCAAGGACCTGCTAGAATGAATCATAGCTCAATTCCCCGTAGCAACAGGAGCTAAGAACAGCCCCAGAGGACCCTCGGCCAGACTCAGGTGAACCTGGTGCAGCCGGGCCAGTCTTTAAGTCCCCAAAATACCGACTTCAGTGCCAAGCACGGTAGTAAGTGCAGAGGTTACAAAGACAAATAAGACAGTCCCTGCCTCTGAGGAGCTCCATCTGGCTGGGGAGAAGGAACACAGTAGGCACACTACACAGTGGGACAGGTGCTGGCCCTACAGTGACTGTGTCTCCCCTCCCGGAGCACAAAGGGGGCACGGCTGGTGCAGGAGAGGCAGGTGGGAGAGGGACTCTGGTGGGGTCAAAGAAAGGGGCGTGGACAGACATAAACTGGGGAACTGACAGCAAGACACCCGCCAGGAGGATGCAGGAGAGGAACAATTCTAGGATCCCGCCCAGGTTCCTGGGTGGTGCCTTCAATAAGCAGGAAAAACTTGAAACAAAGATTAGGGGAGGAAACCAGCGTTTCAGGTATGTCACGGGGAGACAGTCATAGGCCCTCCACAGACTTGCCCCGACAGTTAGATGCATGGTTTTAAGAGAGACAATTCAATTTGGAACAGACATATTATGTGGGGATCCTAAGTGTGGGAGTGGGTAAACTGAGGACACAGAGACAAGAGGGAACAGAAAGAACCCAAAGGAAGGGCAAAATCAAAGAGAGTGAGGAGGGGACAGAGAGGAAACCAGGAAGTGGACTGAAGGATGGCCTAAGACTCAGGAGAACCAGAAAGGGGCAGAAGCCAAGGAAGTCTTCCAGGCGGTGGGGGGCGGTCAACAGCGCCCAGCAGTCAACAGCGTCAAGGGAGATAAAACTGCAGGGTCCACTGGCTTTAGCAGAAAGAGCTCTGGAAGCTACGGGCTGGCAAAGGGAGTTTCAGGGGAGAGGCTGGGGAGGCAGGCACGGTGATGACAGCGGAGGAAGCATGAAGAGGCAGAGAATACTGGAAGGGAAGGGGGCACGCGGGGTCAAGGGACGGTCCCTGGAAGGATGAACTCGAACAAAGGAGAGAAGCGACAAGAGATGTGAGAGACACGGAGAGGGAGAGCTCGCAGATGAAGGAGAGCGAACGGGCAACCACGAGGGCCCTTCCTAAGGCACCGAGGAGGCAAAGGGCACGGGACCGAGCTGGAGGTGAAAGGACTCCCGCAACAGAGGGAACATTCACTTCACCCGGGAGGAGGAGAGCCGGGCGCAGACGGGCGCAAGCCGCCTTGTAGACACAGCAGGTGCCCAGGGAGCAGCTCCTCGAGGCCTCGCCCGGGGTCACTCAGGCACAAAGTGGTGCTGCCAGGAGAGCAGGAGAGCGGAGGGCGGGTTTGGGGGGCAACGCGGACAACCTTGAGAGGGGAAGGAAGCTGATGAGGGGCAACTGAACACGTCTGGGCAGCAGTGGAGAAGCCACCAAGAGTTTGGGGGGAAAATGCGGTTAACGGAGAAAGCCCAATTTGGGGCAGCCTGGAAGGGACCTTCAGCGCCTCACCACGCCCGGACAGGGGAAGGGGCAGGAGAGGCTAAGCAGGGCTGCGCGTCTATTTTCTCAGTTCCCCGACTCTGCAGTAACCTCAGTGTGGGTGGTGAAGCGCCCTGCGCCCTCCACACCCCTCCGACCCCCTTGCTGCTCAGTAACCAAGTCCGCGACGGCGCTGCACCCGTCTGAACACCTGCGTCGTGTGTTCACCGGTCTCAGAAACCAGCACGACTTCGAGCACAGTCAAACCGAGCGGGCTTACCTTTCTAATGTCCTCATACAGACCGTTCAAGTCTCTCCAGCCGAGTTTGAAAGGATCGCTGTACTGCTCCCCACTCTGTGTTCTGCTATGACAGCACGCGGCCGACGTCGAGTGATGGAACCTGGGTCAAGCCCAAACGCACGCCACATTAGGTGAGTTTTACTAAGTGAGATAATTTCATGTTCTTTTTCTTTTTTTTAAAGATTTTATTTATTTATTTGTCAGGGACAGAGGGAGAGAGAGAGAGCGAGCACAGGCAGACAGAGAGGCAGGCAGAGGCAGAGGGAGAAGCAGGTTCCCTGCCGAGCAAGGAGCCCGATGTGGGACTCGATCCCAGGACACTGGGATCATGACCTGAGCCGAAGGCAGCCGCTTAACCAACTGAGCCACCCAGGTGTCCCGAGATAATTTCATATTCAAGTGAAAATTATATACACATCTATTTGCTGGAAATTGAGCACGAATCCAAAATGGTCATTATGATTTAGAAAAACACATGGAATTCTCTTCTTGCTCAACAATATAGGAATAGTTTATTTTTATACTCAGGACACCTTGAGAACCTACAAAATCAAAGATGAACCTAGCTTACTGTGTTCTGGGTTTAAATTTTATTCCATTCCCATTTTTTGAAAAGGCAGAGGGCACACAGAGCAGACACTGTGTCACTTATTTAACCTAAATACTCAATTTGCTGGACTAGCCCCCCACGATTCAGAACAGAAATTTACTGGCAATATAGCTAATAATTTTAGCAATTGTAACACAGATCATAAACGTACCGTGACATACTATACCTATTTGGAAAAGCAGATGTTAAACTCTTCACAAGATTAAAATAGGACATCTGTAAAATAAAAGCATTAAGAAACTTGTAAGAATATTCATGAATAATGTGTTTATAATGCCAGAAAAAAAACACATTCATAATTCATAGAATTCATAATAAAATTATTTACATGTAATATGAACTCATAATAAATTCATAATAAATTTAATCTTTATCTTTTTCATAATCTTTATCTTTTAGTTGTCCCTTTGTAGGTGGGTTGCAAACTCTAGAAAGGTAATAAAAAGTTTCCTTACTACAAAAGCAGTATTTGTCATTACAGAAAATATAAGGAAAAAAACACATCTGTCATCTATCTTTTTCTCCAAAGCATAGTTTCCATATTCCTATCTAGCTTTTCAGACTTGAAAAGGTAGTTTTCAAACAATCTCCTTCTCCTTAACAAAGACTGGTCAGAGAACAGTAATGCTATTTACATTCTTTTTTTTTTTTTTAAGATTTTATTTATTTATTTGACAGACAGAGATCACAAGTAGACAGAGAGGCAGGCAGAGAGAGAGAGGGAAGCAGGCTCCCTGCTGAGCAGAGAGCCCCATGCGGGGCTCGATCCCAGGACCCTGAGATCATGACCTGAGCCGAAGGCAGAGGCTTAACCCACTGAGCCACCCAGGCGCCCGACATTCTTTTACATTCTTAAACCAGTTGAAAACAAAGAGTAATCCAGTTCCCCCAAGCATCAGACCAGATGGTAAAAAGGAAGATTTCAATGAAGAATGAATTTACATTTATACATAAACACGACCTATTTTAAGTTATTGTTCCCAAACAGACTTGGAAATGCTACTTTTTGATCAGTAACATTCAAAAACAAGCAAGCTTAGCAGCACGTTTTGAGAATATTGGAGATCAAGAACAGAAGACTACTAAAAGATTCAGAGATGGTGACAAATACTAGTTCCAATGATTACTGAGTACGACTATGGACCAGGAAATGTGACAGGCACTGTGGACCAAACACAGAGACTGCCCATCTTTTTATTTATTTATTTATTTTTAAAGAATTTATTTATTTGATGGACGCCTGGGTGGCTCAGTTGGTTAAGCAGCTGCCTCCGGCTCAGGTCATGATCCCAGTGTCCTGGGATCGAGTCCCACATCAGGCTCCTTGCTCAGCAGGAAGCCTGCTTCTCCGTCTGCCTCTGCCTGCCACTCTGCCTGTGCGCGCATGTGCTCTCTCTCTCTCTCTCTCTCTCCTTCTCTGACAAATAAATAAAATCTTAAAAAAAAAAAAGAATTTATTTATTTGAGAGAGAGAGAGAGCACAAGTAGGCAGAGAGGCAGGCAGCGGGAGGAGAAGCAGGCTCCCTACTGAGCAGGGAACCTGATGTGGGGCTTGATCTCAGGACCCTGGGATCATGACCTGAGCTGAAGCCAGACGCTTAACCATCCGAGCCACCCAGGTGCCCCCAGACTTACAGTCTTAAAGAATGCGGGCACACAGTCATTCAAAAAATTACTTATTTATTGGCTCAGTTGGTGAAACATGCGACTCTAGATCTTGGGGTCATGAGTTTGAGCCTGACCTTGGGAGTAGAGGGTACTTTAAAAAAATTTACTGATTTACTAAATTAATGTGGTAAGGGCTCTGTATCTGAAGAAAGTATTTTGACAAAAAAGGAAGAATTCAGCCCAAGAAAGATAGAACAAATCTGCTCTATTTGTAACCAAGTCTTACAATGTACTTTTACACAATTTGACCCTCACAACTACTTGTCTTTATACAGCTGGGGAACTTGAAACTCAGAAAAGTCATGTCTGAAAAACTGATATACAGATATGTTGACAATATATCAAAAGAAAAAAGCAGGGGCGCCTGGGTGGCTCAGTCGGTAGAGCCTTGATTCTTGATTATGGCTCAGGTTGATGAGGGAACAGAAGGCAAGCTGAGGACAGAGCAGAAGCCGACACCCCACAAAACCCATGGGGTATATGTGACACTCCTCAGGCGCTCCTGGCTGCCCGAGGGAAAAATAAATGGTTAACTCGGAGAGATCACAAGCCTGCAAGACCTCAGTCTCCCTCAGTTTACAAACGTCCTAGTGATTTACAAGGAAGAGGCTTTCTTACCAATGGCCTAACTTCAAAGACCTGTAACTCTGTTCCTGAGGCCCTAACATCCTCCTCCCCTCCCTAAAATTGAGGGAGGTTGAGGCACAGGGAAATGTAAATAAAGTTCAATTTCTTCTAAACCTAAAGCTCATTGATAGGGACTGTGTGACAGCAGGAGTGTGACACTCCTCCAGGAAGCTCCCAACTATTTTACTGTTAATGCCTTATTAAAAGGAAAAACCTTAACTTGACAGTGGCAAGGCCTCAGGTATCCCGCAGGTCCTCGTTAGCATATGAAAGTTCTTTCAAACCCGCCCTTTCTCCTTACCTCCCCCAACCCCATAGTACAGAACCAGCCACTGCTCACACAGGGCAGCGGCTCTTTCTGCCCAAGGATCCGTCGCTGTGCTTTAATAAGCCATCATTTTGCACCAAAGATGTTTCAAGAATTCTTCCTTGGTCACTGGCACCCCACCGAACTTCACTTATTTTTCAAAACCTCATCGAGGTCATGATCTCCGCGTAGTGGGATAAAGTCCTGCATTAGGCTCTGTGCTCAGCTCAGAGTCTTTTTTTTTTTTTTTCCAGAGTCTGCTTTTGATTCTTTCTCTCCCTCTTCCTCTATCCCTCCCCTTGCTCAGGCTGGGGTGGGTGCTCTAAGTAAATAAATATAAAAAAGCATGCACAAAACCATACATATTCTGTGATCCCACTAAGAATTTATACATATACGCATGCATAAGTAAGATACACAGAGAATAGGGTTTAAAAGCATATAAACTAGGGTATTAAAATAGTTAATTTTGAATAAATAGGATTGTGGGAGTTTTTTTTATTCCTTTTTTGGCTTCTATTTTCTGATTTTTCTCTAGTGAACACAAACTTTAGACATATTAAAGTGACAGTAAAGATTGACTTTGCCAGGCAGGCAGTGGCCAAGGAAGACCGGCTGGGTTCCAGGATTTCCCCCAGAGCATTATATATTCAGTAAACCAATAAGAACATTTATAATGTCCCAAGAAAGCCAAGTTTTAATCCTCTCGTTTGATTTTACCATTTAACGGGCTTCTTTCACCTTCCTTTATTAGTTCATATGAATTCAGTAATTCATTGTAATACTTAGTTTGAGACCTAACCTCTAACTTGGGGTGAAGAGTTAAAATTACACAGCTCGGGTACTTCTACCCAGCAATTGCACTACTAGGCATTTATCCAAAGGATACAAAAATAGTGATTTGGGGCGCCTGGGTGGCTCAGTGGGTTAAGCCTCTGCCTTCAGCTCAGGTCATGATCTCAGGGTCCTGGGATCGAGCCCCACATCGGGCTCTCTGCTCAGCGGGGAGCCTGCTCCCCCCACCCCCGCCTACCTCTCTGCCTACTTGTGATCTCTGTCTGTCAAATAAATAAATAAAATCTTAAAAGAAAGTAGTGATTTGAAGGGGCACATGCACTCCAATGTTTATAGCAGCAATGTCCACAGTTGCCAAATATGGAAAGAGCCCAGATGTCCACTGACAGATGAATGGGTAAAGATGTCCCCAGATGTCCAGGGAAATACAAATCAAAACCACAATGAGATACCACCTCACACCAGTCAGAATGGCTAAAATTTACAAGTCATGAAATGACAGGTGTTGGTGAGGATGCAGAGAAAGGGGAACCCTCCTCCCTGTTGGTGGGAATGCAAGCTGGTGCAGCCACTCTGGAAAACAGTATGGAAGTTCCTGAAAAAGTTGAAAATAGAGCAGCCCTATGACCCAGCAATCACACTACTGGGAATTTACCCTAAAGATACAAATGTAGGGATCCGAAGGGGCAGGTGCACCCGAATGTTTATAGCAGCAATGTCCACAATAGCCAAACGATGGAAAGAGCCCAGATGTCCCTCAACAGATGAATGGATAAAGAAGATGTGGTATATATATCCAATGGACTACTATGCAGCCATTAAAAAAAAAATCTGAATCTTGCCATCTGCAATGACGTGGATGGAACTAGAGGGTATTATCCTAAGGGAAATAAGCCAGTCAGAGGAAGACAATTATCATATGACTTTTCTGATATGAAGAATTTGAGAGGGAAGGTGCGAGGTTTGTGGAGGAAAGGGAGGGAAAAAATGAAATGAGATGGGACCAGGGAGGGAGACAAATCATAAGAGACTCTTAATCTCAGCAAATAAACTGAGGGCTGCTGGGAGTCATTGGGGGTGGGATAGGGTAGTGGGGTTATGGACATTGGGGAGGGTATGTGATATGATGAGTGCTGTGAATTGTGTAAGGCTGATGAATCACAGACCTGCACCCCTGAAGCAAATAATACATTATATGTTAATAAAATAAACAAACAAACAAACAAATAAATAAGATGCACCCAGATATCATTGATAGGTGGACACTTAAATAGAATACACACACACGCGTGAATATTACTCAGCCATCAAAAATGAAATCTTGCCATTTGCGTCAATGTAGATGAACTAGAATGTATTAAGTGAAATAAGTCAGTCCGAGAAAGACAAATACTGTATGATTTCACTCATATGTGGAATTTAAGAACCAAAACAGATGAACATAGGGAAAGAAAAATAAAAGAAGATAAAAACAGAGAGGCAAACCTAAGAGACTCTCAACTACAGGAAACCAAACTGAGGATTGTTGGAGGGACGGGGTAACTGGGTGATGGGCATTAAGAAGGCACTTGATGTGATGAGCACTGGGTGTTCTATGCAACTGATGAATCACTAAATTCTACCCCTGAAACTAATAATACAGTATATGTGAACTAAACAATTTAAATTAAAACAAAATTAAGCAGTTAATACAGAGTGTTCTTAACCACTAGATAGTGTAACAGTTGTTCAAAGCATGGTCTTTGGAAGATGGATCTTGTTTCCATTCCAACATTTCCTGGCCATGTTACCTTGTGACATCTTTCTGGTTAATGCCTACTCTGGGAGGGAAGCTGCAATTAATTGAGATGTGTAAAGCTCTCAGCTCAGAACCCAGCATGCTGTTTACATTTAATACAGTGGCTACAGAACTGCAATAGCTACAGTATTTAATATCTACCCTTATTTTCTGCTTTAAGAGGGAGTGGTGTTTTCTAAAATAAGGCTAGAGGCACTCAGAGGAGCAGTGGACAATTGGTGTACTGCTGTACTGTTACTGTTCCAATACTGTTCCCTTCCTTCCCATCATGTACTCTCTCCTGAAAGCCAACCTTGCCTCCCATGAATTTACTTGGGGGAAAAAAAAATGCTGCTGCATAAGAATCAAAAACATACTGACAAGTGATTTAGCAGTAACAGACACACACTGGTTTTTGTCCTATTACAGGACTTGTTAACGCTCCCAACCATGAGGTTGGGAGAATGTACATATATCAGGAAGCAGAGCTGTGTCTGAGAGCAGATATGGCTTTTATTATTGTTGCTCTTTGTCCCCAAGGACTATGAGGTCCTAAGAGACTTGAACTAACCAAGGACACGTGCCTCAGGCAGACTCCAGAAAGCTAACTAATATCTACTATCCCTGCTGAGCAGGAAGCCTGATGAGGTGCTGGACCCCAGGATCACCTGAGCAGAAGGCAGATGCTTAATTGACTGAGGCACCCAGGTGTTCCTATACTGGAATTTAAATTAAAAAAGTTTTTTTAAAAAAGGAGTGTCAAAGAAGTATCCAGTGCTATTAGATGGAGGGTGCAAACATCTCTCCAAATAATGCCTTCGTCTGTGATGCTAGAAACATTTAAAGTCTGGTTAGGACAGTACTGAAACGGATCCCAGCAAAGCCCTATTCTCTCTCCAAGTGCCCGTTCTGGATAAGTTGTGATATGTATTCGGGGTTTGGGGAATACGTGGGAATATGAAACGTCCCAAAGCCCCAAATTCAATAAACTTTTAAAAAAACGAGCCTTGTGGATGCAAAGGGAACACATCGTAATCACCGCGTGACTGGAGAAGTCTCCAGTCTCTACAGATTTTGCTCAATTACTCTAAACGGAATGCGCCTAACCTATGGCACATTGGGAGTCAATCACTACAAAGTGCAGGAAAGACTGACTCATGGGGCGACAGAACATGCCACTCAACACAGCGTAAACTGGGCGGAAACGGAGAAAAATGAGCTCGGGCCCAAGAGCAGCAGAGGAGAGAGTCAAGGAGCCATGGTTAGTGCTGGGATTTCCGACTCTACTCAAGAAGTCACATTAAATCAAAGCTCAAGGTTTCTCTACTTGTGACATCTTCAGGCCGTTTCTCCTTCCAACGCCCTTCCGCCCCGTCCAGGTAGGGTCTCCCGGGGAAGCAACTACGGTGCGACAGAAACCCGCTGCCCAGAGCATCAGCCCTACACTCTCTACAAACCGCCTATTCCAACCCGCCTGGATCTCTGAGCCCTCGGACCACCTTTGGCTCTAAAATCCTAGCACCTTCCTCCTGAAGCCCTGGCTGAAATCCGAAAGGCAACAGCTGCAGTCGGGTCTCCAGGCGTCCCCGGCTCCCGACCCCAGGAGACAACCTGCCTGCCCCCCACCCCCGGCACTTCCCCCGAGGCCTGGCTCCCCACCGCTCCCTCCCCAAGCCCCGAGGCGCCTGGGTCCCCCAGGACCGCGCTCTGCAGTCTCGCGCGGGGCGCCCCAGCTCCTGGCGGACCCCCGGCGACCACCGCTCCACGTCCCCCCGCGGGGCTCAGGTCCCGGCGCCCAGCCAGCCCGGGATCCCCCAGCAGCGCAGCCCCGCGGCCCCCAGCCCCGACGCACGTGCCGCTAGCTCCCATTCATTCCGCCGCGCCGCTGTCATTGGCGCCGTGACCTCTGCGCCCTGCCGCCGCCGCGCCTCGGGGCCTCACCTGAGCACTGGCGTCTGCAGCCGAGGGTGGCCCGGGCAGCCCGGCGCGGCCCGGGGGGCCGGGGCTCCCGGCCGCCGGCCTCCAGGAGCAGCAGCGGCGCCAGGGCCACCGGCATGAGGCCATGGTCCGAGTCTGAAAGCCGCGGCGGAGCGCTGGCTCCGCCTGTGGCCCCGCGGTCCGCCTCCCGGGACCCGGAGCCGGAAACTTGGCACAGGAAGAGCTTCGGCCCCTCCCCGGCCGCGCCTGCTCGCCCCTCCCCGGGCCGGCCGCGCGGCACCTCGGGCGCCCCGCCCTCGCCTGAGCCCAGCTCGCGCGAGCGCCACCCTCCCCGCCCCTGCCGGCTCCGGGAGCTGGAGCGGCCCCGCGGGACCTTCTGTGTGGGCGAGCCGTGTCTCCCGGACCCCGGCCTGCCGCTGCGGGGAGCCAGGAGCTCCAGCGGTCACCGTAGACATGGAGCTTCGGGAGACCGGCGGGTAACGAGAACTGCCACGGCGCCCAGCCCCGCAGTCGCCAGCTCTTCTGTTCCGCGTGTTTAGGCAGCGAGATGACTCAGAGAATCGGGCTTCCGGTCTGGGGGCTCCCGGGTCCGCCGCTGTTTCTCTTGGGCGTGACCTGGCACGCCGTCGTCCGCTGCTCTTTGCTACCTGGCCTCGAAGGAAGTGCCCGCCTTTTGCATCTTTCCAGTAACGTGTCGAAGCGCCGGCTGGACTATTGTGAGACGGAAGCGAAATTAGCCTTGTCTCTCGACTTTTGGACTCTGTCCTCTGAAAACCTTATAGGTATATCGTGGCATAGATTGGCAGTCTTGCTCCTATCTGGGTAGGAGTCCCACTCGTGGGTGTACCTAGCTGTGTGAAATTGTTTAGTATTTAGTAATGTGAAACGTACTTGCCAGCCTAGGGGATCCTGGCATATGGACAGGATTGGTACCTGATGTGGGTTAGAAAGACCTCTCCTTGGTCCTATAGCCGGATCTACTCCTCTCATGGTAATGAGAAAGCGGACTTAAAACAGAAATCCGTGGTGTAATTAGTGATTCAACGTGCGCACAGAGGCGGGGAGAGAAAGTGCAGGCGATAGGGGTACAGAAATGAAAGAAACTTCATCTGTCCTCAAGAAGTTCAACGTTATGGGGAAATAGACTGGCAAATGGGCAACTACAATTCTCTGAAATTTTTGTCTTCCTTTGAACCCTGCTTTTTGCATTTAAAAAATGAAAATACCCGTAGTACAGCTGAGGACATTATTTTTACATTTCTCTTCAGGGTGTTGTTTTTTACTGAATAAAAGCATAGAATAAAGTTTATTAAAATAAGCCAATCTTATGGTTTTTTTCCCCAATCTTGAAGAATATGATGTAAAAAAAAAAAAAGCCAGGTGTTTTACAAATAAAGGTTGTTAGTACACATCTATGACCTGATGCAGGTAGACTATGCCATGGTAAAGGGTAGCAATTAAGACTTGTATTTACAACAATCCTACAACTTAGATTATTATCATTTGCCCTTTTCACAGATAGGGACACAGGAAGATTTACATGTCTTCTCAAGCTCACAGTTGGCAGATACAGCACTACCTGCCAGGCCATTTTCATTTAGAGCTCGTTTTCCCTATTAAAACAAAATACCTAGCTCTTAAAGAGATGGAGCATGGCAAGGCTAAGTAGGGAGAGCGGATGACATTTGTGAAGGTTTCTAACCTTACAGTGTAGCTAAGCTTTTGATGAGCCATAACCTACCAATAGGACCTGCAGAGTCCAAAGTAGTTCTTTGGACCCAGCGAGGCCAAGGCCTAGACACTTCCTGTGTCTAGGAAGTTAAAACCATTGAGCTGTTCAAGGAACCTCAAAAGAACAGACTCCTCTTACGTACAGGCTAGGAACAACCTGGGTCTTTTTTACTGTACTTGTATGAACGAAACAACTGGTATTGACTGACAAACATGGAGTAGGTGTGTAATCGAAAGCATTTTTCAAAGTTGTTATTTTGATGTTAAGAGTGGACTTTAAGAAGACATCTTCTTTCCATAGTGATGATACCGTCCAAAACATGATCTATGGTAGGACCAGGTTTTATAGCCAAGGAGAGATTATAGACATAATACTGTGTATACATGTATATCATGTCTTGATTCATAGCATTGCCTGAAAATGGCTTATCCTGCTGTTAGGAGATAAATGATCAATGATTATCAAGTTAACTGTGGTAAGAACATTTATTGAGAGAAGAGGTTTAGACATTGCTGCACTGAAAGATTAGCAATTTTTGTGGATTTCATAAGGCAAAACTGAATGCTAAAGAATTTAATTTTGGAATGACTGATTTTTCTGAGTTGTTAAGATAAAGACTTACTGTACATTTGGAATTTTGTCTTGGATTGGGTTTGTAGTCTATAACTGATTATTTGCTGGAAGTGTAACAAAGGTGAGGGATGGGGACTTCTGAGGCAGTTAGCCTCTTTTCGTTCCACAGCCGATGACTAAGTGTATTGACTTTGCCAGAATGTGAATCAGTCAGTGCAAAATCGTGGGTATTAATGAACAGTGTATACTGTCTGTGCTCTACTAAAATGTTAGGGCATCATGGGGCACCTGGCTCAATGGGTTAAGGCCTCTGCCTTTGGCTCAGATCATGATCCCAGGGTCCTGGGATTGAGCTCCTCATCGGGTTCTCTGCTCAGCAGGGAGCCTGCTTCCCTTCCTTTCTCTCTGCCTGCCTCTCTGCCTACTTGTGACCTCTGTCAAATAAATAAAAAATCTTAAAAAAATGTTAGGGCATCATAATAAATGCATAAATTATAATTTAGTCTATTTCCACCTAGTGGCTCTCCTAAAAGAGAAGAAAATACACTGTTGGATCTTCTGCTTTTCATCGTGTTGTCAGGTTTTCTGTGGTGAATGCTGAAATCAGCTGTTTTTTGACTGACTACCCATTGGTTCCCCATCATGTGCTTCACAAACCATATATTTAGGGGAAAATGTAAAGGTTAAATCTGGTCCACATTTGCCTTTTTTATACTCATCTGGGAAAGATAGAAGAGTACTCTTATTTCTGTTATAGCTGACATTTGGTTCACCTAGGCTTGGGTGGGATAAATAGAAGTTAATCTGAACAGTTGGATAAATTGTCTTGATGCCGCCTTTCTGCACTGATGATGCAAAATGCCATTTTTATTATATAGAGAATTCTTAACATTACTTTGGGCTGTTTCTGTTCTTTTTATTGAGTCCCTTTACATCTGTTTTGGGGATAACTTTTTAGTTACTGTGTTTTTATAATTTAGGATAAGAAAACTCCCATTTCTAAAAAAATTGGTTTTTATTTTTCAAGATTTACACTTTAAGATGATCAGCTTTTCTTTTTTTTTTTTTTTAAAGATTTTATTGATTTATTTGACAGAGATCACAGGTAGGCAGAGAGGCAGGCAGAGAGAGAGGGGGAAGCAGGCTCCCTGCTGAGCAGAGAGCCTGATGCAGGGCTCCATTCCAGGACCCTGGGATCATGACCTGAGCTGAAGACAGAGGCTTTAACCCACTGAGCCACCCAGGCGCCCCGATAAGCTTTTTTTTTTTTTTTTTTTTAAAGATTTTATTTAGAGAATTTAGAGAGAGAGAACACATAAGCAGGAGAAGCAGCAGAGGGAGAGGGAGAAGCAGGCTCCCCACTGAACAGGGAGCCATGACCTGAGCCTAAGGCAGATGCTTAACCAACTGAGCCACCCAGGTGTCCCTAAGATGATCTGTTTCTTCAAAAAAAATCCTACTAGGATGTTGGTTGGGTTGCCATATGTTTATTAAATAATTTGATTACAGTGGCATTTTGACAATATAATCTCTATCCAGAAACAAGTTTTTGTGTCCCCTTGTTTTGTGATTTTAGTAATACATCTGCCCTCTTCTGTTTTTTTTTCTGTTTTAATTGGTTTGGATTAGAAGAACAGATTAAGATTTTTTAAATTGTATTTAAAAGAAAATACGTTCTGAGTATCTAAAGCATGTTCAAAACTCTTTTTGTACAGCTTTTAAAATAAGGTACATGTGTTTTAGCGCATGTTTTCTACATTTAGTAAAACATCTGTTGTCTGGTGTTGGAGTTTTTTGTAAGTATCTGTTTCTTTCAGTAATTACAATTTTCTGAAGGACAGAAAGAATGTGATTAATTGCCTAATATTTTTGGGTTGGATTACATTGAATTGGCTAGTACTATAATTCTAAAAGTATAATGCAGCTCACCTCCATTTTGCTTATACATTCTTATTTATAAACATTGTGTATCCTGTTGGCCTCCCACAAGTGAAAATCCTCAAAGACAGGGTATGTGTCTTGTTTTAAACTTTTTCCATCTCCCATCTTCTTGGATGGTTCCATTTACTGTGTTATATGAATACTGGATAGATACGGTTGAAAATGACAAAATAGACTTTAAATAATAAAGTGGGAAGAAGAGTGGTATAAATTGATTTTCTCGAAGAACTATAGTCCTAAGGAATATTAATGTTGTCTCTGGAGCAAATGAGAACACTTCTTAAGAAGAGTTGTTTTGTTTTGTTTTTTTAATCAGCTGTGTTCCCAGTTGATCCTGTTAAAGAAAATTACGTTCGTAAAGTGAAAAACTGTATTTTTTCAGTTGCCTTCCCTACTCCTTTCAAATCAAGAGTACGTCTTGTAGCAGTTTCAAAGGTTAGGCTTTATTTTTTCACAACAAAAATAATTCATTATAGCTGTTGTCTAAAAGAGATAGTCATACTGTTTGAGTTGAATTGTTAGTCTATTGGTAAATGATTATATTTGTGTTTAAAATTCAGACATTTGGAGAATGTCATTCTTAGAAATCACTTTTTGATACTGATTCCTAGACCCTAGTACTCCATTTCATCTTAAAGTTGACTTACAAAAATACATTTTTTTGAACAAAAGGGGCAAATGAGTTTAATTTTTAGAAACGGGTTCTAATAACAAATGATAAATTGTTTCTCATGATACAATTGGATTTGGCATAGAAATAGAACATTTACTTTTTTCTAGTTCCTTTAAAGAATGCGTGCTAAGAAAAATATTATTTTTAGTATGGATCACAAGAATTACATAAAAATTTTAAAACTAATAGAACTGATTTTCCCAAATAGCACAAATAATCATATAAAGTATGGTATATCCCTCATGAGAAAATATTAATGTACTTTTAAAAGAGTTTCATTCTCTAAATTTTCTTTCTTCCATCAAGTCTCTTTTCTCAAAATTATTAAAGGATTACTTAAGTTTGTAAGGTGTTTTTGGTTTGTTTTGGTTTGTTTTGTTTTTTTCCTGCCTCAGGAGGTTCTAGAAGATATTTTGGACCTTGACTTCCGTGTCTCAGAAACAGATGATTTTATCCAGCTTGTGAGTGGTGAAAGGATAGTATTTGGATCCATTCCACTGGCTCACAGATATGGTGGGCATCAGGTATGAGTAGTATCAGGATGACTTCCCTCATGTAATATATAAGCAGCTGGTGGAGATGCTTTCCTATTTATGAAGTTATTTTGCATTAATTCCTCTAATGTTAGTGTATGGAGACTACGACAAGATGTTTCTAGAAGAATGTGCCATCCTAAGTTATTTATAACTAGCTGATGTGATTTCTTGCCGTAAGAAAGCTAATGCCCAACTTCCTTTGATGGAATGGAGAAAATTGGGGTAGCGCTTACGTAAAATTTCTGAGAATTATTGCTAGAGAACTCATTCAGGGAAGTTTCAGATAAGAGATGTAGGCAAAGTCAAGTAGCACAACAGGTCAATATAAAAGCCCTAAAAGGACAAAGAGATTATAGTTTTTCCAGTATAGCTGCAGAACAAAGTTTTAGAACTGCTAGAAACGGCTAGAATTTAATCAGGATTAACTGGGGATGTTATATATGCTGAAAAAATTAAGAAAGCACCCTCTAGAAGTGAAGTTAAGATATTGAAGCAAGTTCAGGTTGTGTTATCTGACTAAATTAAAAAAGAGAGAGAGAAGGAACACAGGACCAATGGTTGAACTTGCTGTGACTTTTCCTGTGAACCAGATAAGATTAACAGTCTGATTGTCAGGGGGCTTGTTTCCTTTGGAATATATATTAGGAAAAGCAGCAAAATGTAATGGGTTTGGAGTAAGGATTCCACAGTTCAAAAAGCCATTCCCCATATAGGTTAAATTCATTAGATAGCATTTTGTACTCACATGTACTGTTAGAGTACAAATGCAGACCTTAAGCCCTGCAGAGTTTTGTTAAGCTGTATTTTTTGGTAGGGTTTTTTTGTTTTGTTTTGTTTTGGTTTTTTGGTAGTATAGTATATTAGATTTTTAAAAATCAATTTCACATTTCATCTCTTGCTTCTCTCTGATTTGAAATTATAAAGATTATAAGGATGGGTTTGTAATTTTTTAAAAAAGACTTTATTTATTTGACAGAGATCGCAAGTAGGCAAAGAGGTAGGCGGGGGGGGGGGGCGGGGGGGAAGCAGGCTCCCTCCTGAGCAGAGAGCCTGATGTGGGGCTTGATCCCAGACCCTGGGATGATGACCTGAGCTAAAGGCAGAGGCTTTAACCCACTGAGCCACCCAGGCACCCCAGGTTTGTCATTTTGAACAGTAATTGATTTTTATTAACAGAGAACTACCTTCTTGTTTCCCCTGACACTCCTGGCTCTGGATTCACCATTCTTTCTATTTATTCTTCACGGTGTGGGATATACCTAATGCATTGTTGACTTTAGAAATTGCCAGAGTATGCTGAGAGTACCTCTCAAGATTTGTGCTTTTAGAGGTAGCTAGAGATAGCAAAAATTAATGGTGATCTCTTCCTGGTAAAGATGAAAAATTAAAATAATGAGTAGATTTTTCTCAAATTTATGTTTTTCTGTTAGAACTATAAACATAGTTCTAACATAGTTCATAGTTTATAGAACTTTTTTGTGCCAAGAGCTATAAAGGTGCATGACACCTGTCCCCTTAGCTCTGAATGCTAACTAATACTCTAGGGGAGAGGATAAAGAAATCAATTCCGATAACATCAGGGTCTTGATAGGGTTAAGTATAGGACTTAGGGGAATTCACAGAGCCCTCCTAGTCCCAGAAAGTCAGAGACACTTTCTGGTGGAAGTAACATGCATGTGGAAAATGGAACGATTTCTAAGTTAGCAAATCACTGTTGGTAATGATAATTATTTCGATCTCATGAGCACTTGCATTATGTTGGACATAGTACAGAGCATCCATTGGCATTCATTCTTAAAACAACCTGGCAAGGGTTATCCCATTTTACAGAAATGAAAGGTCAGTCTCAGTGGGATTATGTAACCCAGATTTCTGTAGCTAGTAAGTGGCATAACTGGGAGTTGGGCAACCACAACAGAAAATGTTGAAAACAGCTAACTATGTAAGTTCAAAAGCATATTTTCAGTTACAAGTATGTTCTTGATTTTATATCACATACATATAAAGGCAAACTTTCTATGAATGAATTGTTCCTAGTTCATATTCTGAAATTAAATAGGTCAGTAGATTAGTTCTAAATATTCTACACCTTACCGACTTGAGCTCAGTTGTAAGATGAAGAAGTTAATCTTGTGTCTCAAATTTATATTTTTAAAATGAATTTCACTTATGTGTTATTGATTGAATTTTTTTTCACCTTTGTTCAAGTTGTTGATTCTTATAATCCTAAAAATGCAATACCCCATTCTCAATTTTGACAAAATAACTTTGGCTATAAAATTACTATGAAAACTTTAAAGGGTAATAAGCATGAATAATTTTCCTTTTTCTCCTTTAGTTTGGGATATGGGCAGGTCAGCTTGGGGACGGAAGAGCTCACCTAATTGGAATTTACATGAACAGGTACCACGTGTTTTCTGGTATAATAGCTTTTCTGCTAAATAGTAACATGAATCTTCTAATACTTAGATTTCTTTGTTGTTGTTGAAGGCAGGGTGAAAAGTGGGAGCTCCAATTAAAGGGCTCAGGAAAGACTCCATACTCCCGGTACAGTTGGTATTTTTTTTCAGTCATCTAAATAAAAATTGATGTTGTCTTCATTACAACTGAAAACCTTTTTTTCTCTTATTTGACCTAGAAATGGTGATGGCAGAGCTGTACTTCGTTCCTCAGTGAGAGAATTTTTATGCAGCGAGGCTATGCACTCTCTTGGAATTCCAACTAGCAGGGCTGCAAGGTAATTCCTTTTTCCTTGAAGCTGACTTTCAGGAATGCGTCATGTTATCTGCAGGCATGTGTCAGTAAATTGAGCAGATAGATCTATGGTAGCATGATTTCTCATTGTTTCTTATGGTTTCAGGTACTTCTTGGTAGCTTGCTAGGAGTGAACATGTAACTTTAATTGTTGGATTCTCTTGTGTTTCAGTCTGGTTGTGAGTGATGATGAAGTATGGAGAGATCAATTCTACAATGGAAACATTGTGAAAGAAAGAGGTAATAATAATTTTTAGAATATACATAAAATTAGGCTAAGTTCTTAAAGAAGAACAGATCCTGACATCTTTGCAGTCTTCTTAAAAAATGACCTTTGGGGGCGCCTGGGTGGCTCAGTGGGTTGAGCCTCTGCCTTTGGCTCAGGTCATGATAGCGGGTCCTGGGATCTAGCCCCGCATCGGGCTCTCTGCTCAGCGGGGAGCCTGCTTCCCCCTCTCCCTTTGTCTGCCTCTCTGCCTACTTGTGATCTCTGTCTGTCAAATAAGTAAATAAAATCTTTAAAACAAATTAAAAAAAAATGACCATGGTTCTTTAAGATGTAATTGTATCACTAGGGTATTACTACCATAGGATATCCTTTCCTACATCCTTACATCACTAGCCCTTTGGTTTCAAACATAGACATCTGGGAAGTGAAAAAAATCTTTATGGATAGCCAGCAAAATGTTACAAAGCTGGAACCCAAAAGTTCATACACTTTCTTCTAAGGAGAGACCCTCAGACCTTTCCTCAGAGCCTGACTCCTCGCTCTTCGTGCTTGCTTCTGATTGATTCAGTTAACTTTTTCCTCAGCCTTTAGTAAGCCAGAAATTAAAAAATTAGGAAGGGGTGAGATTTGTGCTGTAGGGCAGCAAAGAGAAACAGCGAGAGAAACTTGACCTTGAATGGAAGAGACCTAAAAAATCAATAATAAGTGTATTTGATTGATGGAGTGATTGTAAGCTCTACACCAGCATGGGACTTGCACTAGTACCCTGAGATCAAGAGTTGCATGCCGGAGGTGCCTGGGTGGCTCAGTGGGTTAAAGCCTCTGCCTTTGGCTCAGGTCATGATCTCAGGGTCCTGGGATCGAGCCCTACATCAGGTTCTCTGCTCAGTGGGGAGCCTGCTTCCTCCTCTCTCTCTCTCTGCCTGCCTCTCTGATTACTTGTGATCTCTCTCTGTCAAATAAATAAATAAAATCTTAAAAAAAAAAAACAAAAGAGTTGCATGCCCTACCGACTAAGCCAGCCAGCCACCCAATATTAAACTTATTCAACAGTTTAGAAAGCAGAGCCACTGAGGGCTGCTGACAGCCCTGCCTGCTCTGTTGGGTCCCGTGGACGTCATTGGATGACCAGGCAACCTTTTTTGCTGATGATCGCGGTGATTCACTGAGGGCACGTGTTATATTCTTTATGCTTTAGCGTCTAATATGTTTTGACAAAATTTTCATAAAAAGCAATCCCCCTAAAATATTCATGCTTGAAGGAGTTAAGGGTTATTTACCTTTGAGATTAGGAAGGATTTCAGTTGGGGGAGAAGAAAGAGTGTGCACACACAGAGAGCAGGGAATAGCACAAAGGCCCAGAGGTGGCAGTGGGGGTGGGATTGTGTGGAAAGGCGGCACCAACAGATCAGGAGGCTTTGTTTTCTGGAATAGACCTCATCTTCACATCCAAACACACGCAAGGACAGCATTCTTTTTGGGGAAAAAAACATGCATTCTCTTTACTAATTGTATTACTAATGCCTATAGTCAAAACACAAAGCAGCAATGGAAAGCTGCAAGCACTAACACAAAATACTTAGATTCACTGTCTTTCTTCTGTGTTTCATAAGTTAGAATGTATGCAAACGTTTATTTATTGAAGTGGGTTTTCAATTAGTTACACCAAGAGAAGGCACTTGCGGGGACTATGCCATGTAAATCATTTACTAATGCCCTATTTCAGGATGACATAGGGGGAAGATGTCGCAACAGAGGAGACCGTGGGAATCCCGTGTTTGGAGCCTAACAGTTTAACTGAGCAGCCTTTAGTGAGGTTAGAACCTTCATATTTATGAAAGTGTTGTGGTTCCTGACATTTGAACCGATTCCAGGCTTAAAGAAATAGAGAAAAATCCTTGATCCTTTCTAGGGTATCATTAGTTGCTTTTCTGATAAATTGGGTGCCTGTATTATTTTTTTACTAAAATAATTTAAATTTTTAGAAAAGTATATTATGCTGTATTTGCAGTTTAAAATGCTAAAAATATGCTAAAATGTGTGTTTTTCAGGTGCAATAGTGCTGCGTGTTGCAAAATCATGGTTTAGAATTGGATCATTAGAAATTTTGGCTCATTATGGTGAACTGGATTTACTAAGGTTAGAAAATGATATTTTTTTAATGATAGGAGACAATTAAAAAATGCTTGTATATGTACTGTGAAGTTAAAATATTTTTTGTTTTCTTAGAAGTTAAAATCAAATATTTCAATTAATAAATATTTTTAACACTCACTACATGTGGGTTTTCTAGGAGGCCGAAAGAAGTGTGAGACCCAGTAGACCCTTTGCTCAAGGAATTTTTAATCTGATATGCAGCCCAGTTGTAGCTGAGGGCCTCGTGCCATTTGGAGCCCTGGGTGGAAGTGATTCAACGCCCCCAAATCCACCTGCAGAGATCAAAGAGCTCCTTTCAACTTCTGGGTTCCCAGAGTGTGTCTTCACTCTCCAGACTGCGGTTTTGACACCTGTGAGATGCCTGCTTTGCTCTGGGTTGACCCACAGCTGAAACTCAGCCCCTTCAAAAGGGCAAAAGCAGGCAAACAAACAGGCAAATGTACATAGAGCATTTAAGAACAGAATGTGTCTCACTGAAGTTTTTCTGCAAGGAGCACAGAGGATGGCTTCAAAAGAGCAAAAGCAACGGATTCTTGCCCTTGCATCACACAGTACAGCTTCCAGCATTTTGTGATGTCTTAGTGCCTGCAGCGTCTCTACTTGCACAATTCCGTCTTCCTCACGCGGATTTAACAAGAGGTGTCTTCAGGCAGAAACATTTCCTCCTTTCAGAGGAATTCTGCTTCCTTTTGTTAAGATAATACAGTTGGAAAAAGTTCTAAAAAGTCACATAGATTCTCTTAGACAAACTAGAGTCCTTTGGGGTGTGGATCCTGTGTTGTAGGTGTCAGCGCGGGAAGTCCCGATGCCTGGGCTGTGAAGGATGCGGGGAGAGAAGCCCCGAGGAAAATGAGGAAGCAGAGTAGAGAAGTCCCCACACTGGCTAGAGCCGTCTCTGAGTCTCTTACTTAGCAAATGTTCTCTGAGCTCCTGGTCGTCCTGCTTGTTGAGAAGAGTTGTCTGCGCTCACTGGGCATTATTTCTAACTTCCCATTTGTTTTTTGGGTCCCTTCTGATTGGATTCACGATGTCACTGAAATTGTCCCATCTGGTGGTAGTATTTCTATAATAGTTCACTTATTTCTCTGACATTTGATGTATATTAGTGACCGCCGCCTCCTAAAAGTCTGTCGGCTCACGTAACCACATATATATTCCTTTTCGTTTCCCAAATGCTTACAACAGTTCTTGACATACAAGCACTTATTCACATGATTAAATTATTAAATGATTAGAAAAATACATATATACACAAACTCTAATCCATTCCTTTTGTTTTGACTGGCTTTTAATAATTCCCTAGTTACATCTACAACCCCCAGTCTTTTTTATGGCTTCTTTCTTATCCAATACATTCAACACTATAGTTAGTTGACGAGTCAGTTAAAATAGGGAATAAAAAATATGATACACAGACAACTTAAATAACTTTGAACACTGGACAGTCTTTTGCCACCCCCCATTTGTGAAGCCTTATGTGACCTTGCAGACATAAATAATTGTTCCCTGCTCTGTTATCTGTGTAACTTTTATATTCTGTTATTGGATGTGTCACACTGTAATGTCATTATTTCTTCATGTGTTCTTCTCCCTAATGGGCTCTGTGTGCTTTGAGGTTTGGGTCCTCTGGATCTGGGTCTTGGCATCCTTTCCCCCAGTATGTGCACCTGGTGGGGCTTATAGTAGGTGTGCATTTGTAATAACATGGTGTAATCTAATACTGTCTTAGAAACTCATTTCCCGTTTTGACTGGTATTGAGGAAGTATTTCTCTATGGCTGTTTTTTAGAGTAAAATCTTATTTTAATTCTTAAAATTTGAAGCTTGAATCTAGTGGCTTCCTGGATGTCAAGGGTGGATTTAGATAATTTGATATGGGGAGACACTGATGCTTTCTCCTTCTTTTCTCCAGGACGTTACTAGACTTCATCATACAGGAGCATTTCCCCTCAGTAAAGGCCACAGAACCTAACAGATATGTGGTAAGTTTGGTCAGAGAAAGAGAAAGGTCAGTACTCAGTTTTCTCTTCTGGCCCGCCAACATCAACGGTTACAACTTAGAACTTGACTGGGTAGGTAGGAAAGGAAATGGAGTGCACTTTGAACATTTTGTTAGGTGAGGGGAAGGTGAACCACTTCATAAACAAGACACAGATAAGAAAGTTGTTTTGTTTGAAAGGTATCCAGAGAAAAAGAACAGGTGCTACTACCTCCTGACTCTGGACGTGATGTTTTGCACACATGTTTTATAACTTGGTCTTACGTAGTCTTTCCTCACACATGAGAAATACAGATATTTCTGTAGTAGTAGTAGTTCTAAAATAAACACAATACATAACAGGAAAATGTGATTTTCTATTCTTGTGGAAATGATTTGGTCTTCATAACCCTCTTTCATTCTCTTAGCAGCCACAGCGAAGGGAATTCCATTATTTTTCTTTGTGATTCATTTCAAAGTTTAAGAACTTACTTTGCTTACATTTAACTCCCTTGTGCTGAATTCTAATGCTTTTCCTGTTCTTACTGGACATAGAGAAGGCCTAGTAATAATACTATGTCTGGGCCTTTATATATTATTTCTCAGTGACTAATTCCATGTTCTTCCATTTTTTTTCTTACATTTGTTAATTTCCATTTCTTTTTCATCTTTTGATACCCTGAATTCTTTCCATGTTCTCCCCATGACTTAGCAGAAGATCCCAGAAGAGTATATATTCCTGAAAATCTGAAAAATTTCTGAATTTTATTTTAGGAGTTTTTCTCTACTGTGGTATCAAAGACGGCACAACTCATTGCCTTGTGGATGTCTGTTGGTTTTGCTCATGGTAAGTCATCTACTGATGCTTCATTTTCCTGATGAGAAAGTAGAGTTAATTTGTTGAAGCAGAACACTCCATTTTTGTGTACTTCAAAACGTTCCTGCTGATGAGCTTAACATTTATGAGGTATGAATTTGTTTTTAGCAACAGAGAAGCAATTTTCTTGTGTTTAAAATGGCTTTGAATGGAACGGTATGCACAAGATAGAATAAGCATCCTCAATTCAACGAGGATGTTATTACCTGTAAAACGTTCTTTTTTTAAAAAAAGATTTTATTTATTTAAATATTTTAAATAAATTATTTAAATATTTAATAAAGATATTTTATTAATAAAAACAATAATTCAAAAAATTAATAATAAAATTATTTATTTAAAATAAATATTTAAATAAATAAATAAATAAATAAATATTTATTTATTTTTTAAAAGATTTTACCTATCTATCCGACAGGGATCACAAGCAGCCAGAGAGGCAGGCAGAGAAAGAGGAGGAAGCAGGCTCCCTGCCGAGCAGAGAGCCCGATGCGGGGCTCTATCCCAGGACCCTGGGATCATGACCTGAGCTGAGGGCAAGAGGCCCAACCCACTGAGCCACCCAGGCGCCCCTTGTTTATTTATTTTAGAGAGAGAGCGCACAAGCAGGCAGAAGGGGAGGGGCAGAGGGGGAGGGAGAGGGACAAGCTGACTCCACGCTGAGTGCAGAGCCTGACCCTGGAAGCTGGACTTGATTTCATAATCCCAAAGATCGAGACCTGAGTCAAAAGCAAGAGTTGGACGCTTTACCAACTGAACCACCTAGGTGCCCCAACCTTAAACGTTTTCAACCACGTGGCTACACGATATATTTTGGTCACTTTTTTTTTTTTAAAGATTTTATTTATTTATTTGACAGATAGAGATCACAAGTAGGCAGAGAGGCAGGCAGAGAGAGAGAGAGGAGGAAACAGGCTCCCCGCTGAGCAGAGAGTCCGATGTGGGACTCGATCCCAGGACCCTGGGATCATGACCTGAGCGGAAGGCAGAGGCTTCAACACACTGAGCCGCCCAGGAGACCCTATTTTGGTCACTTTAAAACTGTTTTTAAAATCTCAATTATAAAAGCACTGCATGCTTATGGTAAAGAATGGTAAGTATAGGGCGCCTGGGTGGCTCAGTCGGTTAAGTGGCTGCCTTAGGCTCAGGTTATGATCGCAGGGTCCTGGGATCAAGTCCTTGTCTGGCTCCCTGCTCAGTGGGGAGCCTGCTTCTCCCTTTGCCCCTTCCCCTGGTCATGCTCTGTCTCTGTCTCTCTCTCTCTGGCTCACTCTGTCTCTCAAAGAAATTTTAAAAATCTTTAAAAAAAGGAATTGAAAGTATACAGAAGTGAGTATAAATTCCATTCTCCAGGGTAATCATTATTAACCATTTTATATCAATATTTTTGGACTCTTTTAGGATGATACTCATACACATCCTGTAAAAAACAGGGCTGGCTTGTGTGTTTGAAACCATTTAGCGTGTGTAGTTGCATGGGAAGGAATATCTGCTCAAACTAAGAATAACTGAAAAACAAATCATGTATGTTCTAATGTCTCTAGATGACTACCTAAAGGGAATCCCACAGTGAAAAACTTCTTGAAATCCACTTAGCTGATCACACCCATACTCTGTGTATCTGTCTTGGAGTGGGCTGGGGTAGGGAGAGCAGGGTAGGTGTTTCAGAGTTTTTGCTGTTAGGAACCATGGCACAGTGACTACCTTGCAACTGTATCTTCATATTCCTGAAGGCAACTTTTGAGGACAGACCCCTACCATAGGATGGCTGGGTTAGAGAGTCTATACATTTAACATTTTGATAAACTGGGCCATCTTGCTCTGAAAAACAATGAAACCCGATAGCGGACACAGTTGCCAAATATCTTGTATTAGGCTGGCGTATCCATTCCCCGGCTTCCTCCTACCCCACACTCTGGCCACCAGCCCTAGCCCCCTTGCCTGGGAGGGCACACTCCCTCCCCCTTCTGCTAGGGTCTGCAGCTAAGGACTGTAATGGGAGTGCATATCCATATTTTACCCTTTTCCCATCCTTTGGAAATAAATTCATCTTACTCCTTTACTAGTTTCACTTCCACTCCGAGTAACGTATATTTTTTTAAACAAATGCAAGAAATTGAGGATAAGTAAGAAGAAGTTGTATTTCTTGGGGCTTTTGTTCTGTAGTATTTGAAATCTTTATGGGGTAAGGTATAAAACAAAAGGGCAAATTTAATTTAAAGATGTAGTTTTAATATATATTAGGTATTTGATATCACCAGTTAAACTTTCAATAGATAACCCAATTTTATTTCACTTCCAAAACAAATGCATTTCCATTTTCCTATTCTTGACAATTTCATACATTTAAAAATGCTTTATTATTTTATTACCGTGATTTTGGAATCTTTTTGTTGTGGTTTCAGGTGTTTGTAATACTGATAACTTCAGTTTGTTATCCATTACAATCGACTACGGCCCATTTGGTTTTATGGAAGCCTATAACCCAGGTATGTGTGATTTATACGTAAATATGTATGTGTGTACACACATGTATCTTATTTCACCAAAAAATGATTACGGGTTTATTTTAGATAAGTTGTTATAGCTAATACAGTGTTGAGGTAGTAGAAAGAATTGGGTTCATTCATAAAACGGTCACTTTATGTAGTACTGAATGTTCCAGGTGCTATAGGGAAACAGAAATGAGCCCTTCGAGGTCTCTGCCCTTAAGGAATTACATATTAGAGAAGATGACAGGGAGGCAGTAGGGAACCTGTGTGAGACAGATGCAGGTTTGACTTCTGGCATCTGAGCCACAGTGGCTCGGTGCCCTTCCCTGGACAAGTTACTTAACTTCTCACATTACCAACCTATAAAATGGAGGCCATAGTAACACAGTCCTTGCAAGGAGAGATCCAAGCAGGCTTTGTGGACGGTGTGATACTTGAGGTGGGGTTTGAAGGACAATTATGATCACCTGAAAATATATATATTTTTTTTAAGATTTCACTTGAGTGCAAGAGAGAGCAAGCATGAGCAAGGGAAGGAACAGAGGGAGTAGGAAAGAGAGAAGCAGATTCCTCACTGACCAGGGAGCTGGATGCAGGACTCGATCCCAGGACCCTGGGATCTTGACCTGAGCTGAAGGCAGACGCGTAAGAGATTGAGCCACCCAGGCGCCCCTGATCACCTGAAAATTCTTACATAGTAGAAATATATTCCTCTATTAGGCAAAAATTCATATTTAAAAAGAATTTCATGTGTATGGGTAGTAAGTGCTTATGTTAATTTTTAGTTAAATGTTTAACGTCAGAAAGATTTAATAAATGTAAACATATCTAATGAATATAAATTTATTAAACTTAAATATAAACTTAGAAAGGAAGAGGACATTTATTACAATTATCTCCACTATGAAAGGCTAGTAATGGGCATCTGGATGGCTCAGTTGTTAAGCGTCTGCCTTTAGCTTAGGTCATGATCCCAGGGTCCTGGGATCGAGCCCCGAGTCAGGCTCCCTGCTCAGCAGGAGGCCTGCTTCTCCCTCTCGCACTCTCCCTGCTTGTGTTCTTTCACTGTCTCTCTCTAAATAAATAAATAAAATCTTTTTTTGTTGTTGTTTTTTGTTTTTTTTTAAAGATTTTATTTATTTATTTGAGAGCGAGAGAGTGAGAGCGTATGAGAGGGTAGAAGGTCAGAGGGAGAAGCAGACTCACCATGGAGCTGGGAGCCTGATTCCAGACTCAGTCCTGGGACTCCAGGATCATGACCTGAGCTGAAGGCAGTCACTTAACCAACTGAGCCACCCAGGTGTCCCTAGATAAATAAAATTTTTAGAAAGGATAATATTTTTTATTTTAAACAGATTTTGTCCCAAACACATCTGATGATGAAAGAAGATATAAAATAGGAAATCAGGCCAATATTGGGATGTTTAATTTAAACAAATTGTTGCAAGCTTTAAATCCATTACTGGATCCTAGGCAAAAGAAGCTGTGAGTAAATCCAAAATCCACTAATTAAATCTGTATGAAATTACATTTGTATAATGATCATTTTTTCAAGCTAACATTTTAAGAACCATCTTAATATTTAGTCTTTAATAATGAAGCCATTTTAAACTATTTTTGTGTAGTACAGTTTTGGCTTTTTCCCACAGTTATTAGGATGAAGTGTTTCCCTATTTATTGCTTTTTAGGTGTTGTGAAATTTTAGCTTATTTCTTCTTTGATCTAAGGGTTATTTATCACTGTTTTTCTTAATATCTAATAATTGGGCTCATTTTATTCATATATTTTTATATGTGTTTGGTAAAATATACATTTAAAATGTGTTAAGGTTTCTTTATGACCCCCAAATAATGAATTTTGTGCATCTGTAGTCAAAGGTTTTACTATATCAAATTGAGTGTATTGAGTGTATTATTCAAGGCCTTTATGACTCTATTTTTTTATCTATTCGATAAATTTGATGCGTTAGAAATGTGTATTAAAATCTCCCACTTTAATTGTATTTTTACTAAGTAATTTTTTCTGATGGTTTTAAATTTTAATATTTTGCTATTGTATTATTGGTACACACAGGTTTTTACTTATATATCCTTAAAAAAAAAGTGCCTTTTAGCCTAAGGCCATGACCCCCTTTTTCTTGATTTAGCCTTTTAACTCCAAATTTCAATTTATCTGATATTAATATTGCAATTCGAGCTTTCTTTTCGTTGGATTTGCCTCGAGTCTCACTTTGTTTTTCTACCTTTGTCATTTGTCTTACAGTATGTTTCTTGTAAAAACAGACAACACATATAGCCAGGTTTTAACTTAGTGTGATGGTTTCGGTCTTAAGAGATGTGTGTAGGCTGTTTACATTTATTGTAACAACTGATTTATTTTATTCCTGTCTTATACTCTGCTTTATCTCTATTTTATGTATCAGTTCCCTGCCACCTCACCGGCTTTCCTTATCTATTTATGATTTGAGAAGTTCATTCATCGCTCCCCCACCTTGATTTGGAAACTGCTGTATTCTCCACCTGCCACTGGTAGTTATCTTCCTTTTCCTGCCGCTTTCTCTACTGTTATGGGAAAATGAGTTTCCAAGTACTTTTCCTTCACTAAGATTCTATTGACTTATGTAAGTTTTCTCCTCCATTTCAGTGAGACTCAGTTCTTTTCCTTTTTACCTCTAAGAACCCAACTGCCGGCCTCTGCTAATAAGGTAGCTTAGTATTTTGAATTTCAGACTTTTGTAGGTTTTCCTACAAAGCGTAGGAAGTGTATCTCTCCCATCATAAGTCTTTGCCCTAGCGCTTCCCCCACCTGCACAAGCCCACATTTCTAATCATTTCACTGCTGGCCACCGCTTTTTATTCAGGGTTACATCTCGAAGTCTCTGTTTCAATTACTCTATTATTTCCCTTAGTGGGGTATAGAGGTGATGTATATTCTGAATTCTCGCATAACCGTTACTATTTTTATTTTACGCTGACAGATGACTGAGACTAGGGCACTAGATTATGGATTCACTGGTATGTAACAGAAGCCCAAAATAATAGTAGTTTGAATAAGAGGGACATGGTTTTCTCCCTTGAAAAGCGTGCAGGTTGGTAACTGAGGGCTGGTGGGTACTCTGCTGAGTCTCAGACGGCTTTGACTTTTCCATCCCACCATCCACTCACTGCTGAAGTCCTCAGGGTCCGGGATGGGGCACCATCTGGAACACCCAGCTTCTGAGTGGCAGCGTGGAGAAGAGGCAAGTCTTCTCTATCGAAGGATACATGTCAGCGTTTGTACACATCTCCTCCCTCCTTTCCCATCAGCCAGGACTTAATCATAGAGCCATCTGAGTGTAGGGGCCTTCCATTGTATCAGCCCAGCTGCACTGGTCCAAGTTTCCCTTCCCTGTATGGTTATGGGTTCCATTGCAAGATCTGGAAGGCGGAAGTGAGGCAGCGGCGTGGCTGCACCCAGAAGGCCGGCCTGCAGCCAGGCCCCACTGCCGCTCGCGCGCACTGCCGTCCATCCATCCGTCCATCTGCTGGTCCACGGTGTTGGTGTGGGGAGAGAACCAGGGCCAGTGCTGGGCCAGGGCGGGCACTGCCCCGTGGTGAGGGGCACAGGCTGATTGCAGCTGGCCTGCACCTCGGAGCTTGGACCCCTGAGGGACAGACTTGGGTTTCAGTTTGGGCAAATTCTGGCTGGTCTTCACTGTCTCCGGTCTCACATCCAATTTTCTGTCCTCTCCTCGCTACCAGCGTTGGCCCCAAAACCAGACACAGAAACAACAGGATGATACGTCCTTCTTCACCTGCTCCCACAGTCACGGAAGGTCAAATCCTTCCGAAAAACCCCTTGTTCTGGCACCCATAGTGCTTCTGCTTCTCCGCCTGCAACTACTACCTAGCGAGGGAAACCTCTGCTTTTGCTTAACTGTTGACTTTCTTCCGTTCACTTCTTTTTGTGCTTCTGGCACTCCATTCTTGGTACGAATCCTTCTTCATTTGTCCCCAAGTCTTATTTTTTTTTTCCTTATGCTTTCCATTTCTTTGCGTTTTTGTGTAGGTTTTGTGGTATTTCTTCTCCCCAGTTTCCTAGGCCGCTCAATTTGAGTCTCAGGAGTAACCGTCTTCCGTCTCAGTCCACCCACTGAATTCTGTGGCCTGAAATACTGTCTTGGAGTTCCAGAAGGTCTACTGAGGCACAGTTTATTCTCCTGAAGGGTCTTACCATTGTTTTCATAGTGGTGTCTGTCTCCACTAGCCGTTCCATTGTGCTGAGAGCCAGCCGTTCTGGGGGTCTTCTGTTTCTGCTCTCTCTGGCTATGAGAGGAGAACACTTGGGCACTGCATCATTTTCCTTTGCCTCTCCATTGGGGCTCCACTCTGGTTAAGCTGTGGTACCCCTTTCACGGGCTGGCAGAGGACCTGCAAGCAAGTTTTTAGCTTTCCACTCGGCCTCTCGTAGGCTGTCTCTCTGCTCCCAGCTCTCCTCAGCAGCCAAGGCTAGCATTCTCCTACCTTCGGGGTAGAGAGGTTTTAGCAGCTCTCCTGCAGCCTCGTGGAAGCCAGGGAGCCACTAATTTTTTCCAGTAACACTTATACAGGTAGGGCCCTTGATGTCTTTGCTCTGCTCAGCCATGCTGTACCTCAAGATTGAGGGCCTGCAGCCTTGCTCAGCCCCTCCAGGCCTGCTTGCCTCCTCCAGGCCCTACCAGCTCTGAGGCCCAGGAGAGGGGCTAAATTAGAGCAGGGAAGGGCAGGCACCAAAAATTCATTTGAACCACCATCTTCCTTTGACATCTCTGGTTTAGTGTTTGGCCTTGAAGATTTTTAAAGGAAATCCCTTATCCCCCTTCGGGTGGTTCCCGTGGGGGGAGGGGCAGGGCTTCATGAGAGTACACAGTTCTTCTCTGGCTCCACTTAATTCCTCTCTGGGGGATGAAGGGTTAATGACCAGTTTGGTGAATTTGGGAGACGAATTTAAACCTGTGTGGCTCATCCTATTAATACCTCTCTTTCTGGAGATCCGCCCAACCAGAGAAAGCATACATTTTCTGCTTTTTTATATGAAAATTTTACAGGGGTGTGCCCAAATGGGGGAGACCCATAGATGTAACTGTTATTCTAGTAGTTGAGTGAATAAATCTTTCTAATGTAGGTACAAAACATTAACATGCCGATTGATCCATAGACTTAAGCCATATTTTCCAGACTAGCTTTTATCAATAATAAAGCTGAACTTTTAATCTCAGAGTCTGACTATTATGTGATCTCTCCTTCTGAATTCAGGCTGAAGAAAAAAGGGTACATGGTTGCCTTTTTAAACAACAGAATAAATAATAAATAGACAACATTGTAATGTTTATAATTAGTTACTCAAAATGAAATATCTAGCATATTTCAGGGGGCGCCTGGGTGGCTGAGTGGGTTAAGCCTCTGCCTTTGGCTCAGGTCATGATCTCAGGGTCCTGGGATGGAGCCCCGCATTGGGCTCTCTGCTCAGCAGGGAGCCTGCTCCCCGCCCCCCCCCCCCGCCTGCAGCTCTGCCTACTTGTGTTCTCTCTTTGTCAAATAAAAAAATAAAATCTTTTAAAAAAAAAAAAGAGGAATATCTGGCGTATGTATATGAATAAGCATGAATAATAATCTAAGTATGTTAATAATTATATAGAATGTTAAGATATTTCTTGATGTAACCACTGGGCATTGAACTCCTTGAGGGCAGGATCACATTATAATCACTTCTGTGTCTCAGGGCACCAGGGTGGCTCAGTCAGTTAAGTGTCTGCCTTCGGCTCAGGTCATGATTCTGAGGTCCTGGGATAGAGCCCCGCATTTGGTTCCCTGCCCAGCATGGATTCTGCTTCTCCCTCTGCCTGCCACTCCCTCTGCTTGTGCTCTCTCTCTGTCAAATAAATAAATAAAATCTTAAAAAAAAATCATTTCTCTGTCCCTAATGTATTTGCCAGAAGATAAAGCATATTTTTCACTCTCCCCCACCTGTCCCCCAAATCTAAAATTGGATTTCCAGTACAAGATCCCAAGCGGAAGGCAAAGCGTAGAGTAATTTCATTAACCCCAGGCAACAAAAAAAGATTACTACGATAAAGATAAAAGTTTTATATACCACCTATGGTTTTCTTAATTAATATAACTAAAGATATATTGGTAATGCATCATAGTTCAAAATCGAAGCAATATAAAACAATATTCATTAAGCAGTCACTCTTGTCTCCATGAATTTTCTCTCCCTTTTGCTTTGCAGAGTTCATTTATTTGCTCAACAAATACTTACTGAGGTCCTCAGTATGTGCTCGACACTGTTCTAAGTGCTAAGGGGACAGCAGTGAATCAAACAGCAGGATAGTTGGGCCTGTGCAGTGCTTGCTTCTGGTGGGAGAGAGTCACACAGAATAAATAAGATCCATAGCTTATGAGAAGGAGAGGAGTACAATGGAGAAACACTAGCAGGAGATAGGGAATAAAGGCAGCGGGGTTTGCAGTTTTAAAAGGATGGTCAGGACCTCACTCGGGCAAAGGGTTGAAGGAGTCGCAGGAGCAAACTACACAGATACCTGGGGGAAGAGTGCTCTAGGCAAGGGAACAGCCTGTGCAAAGTCCCCGAGCAGGTGTGTGTGGTGGGGGGGTTAAGGAACAGCCAGATGGCTCCTGTGGCTGCCTCAGAATGAGCAAGGGGAAAATTTACATGGGATGAGGTCAGTAAGGTAAAGAGGGGAGCTTCAGAATGAGTTGAGCTTTTGTATGATTTAAAATACATGTAAAGGGTGCCTGGATGGCTCTGTGGGTTAAAGCCTCTGCCTTCGGCTCAGGTCATGATCCCAGGGTCCCGGGATCAAACCCCCGCATCGGGCTCTCTGCTCAGCAGGGAACCTGCTTCCCCTCCTTCTCTCTCTGTGTGCCTCTCTGCCTACTCGTGATCTCTGTCTGTCAAATAAATAAATAAATAAATAAATCTTAAAAAAAAAATTTAAGAATATTAAGAAATAGAAACTTAATTTGTTGGGCGCCTGGGTGTCTCAGATGGTTAAGTGTCTGCCTTCTGCTCAGGTCATGATCTCAGGGTCCTGGGATCCATCCCCACATTGAGTCATTCCCGCCCACCCCCACCGCCCACAGCTGGCTCTGCAGGGAGTCTGCTTCTCCCTCACCCTCTGCCTCTCCCCCTGCTTGTGCTTTCTCTCTCTCAAAGGAATAAATAAAATCTTTAAAAGAAAAAAAAAGAAAATTTGTTTAAAGACGAGTTTAAGGTTAAGAAGCTTTAATCTCTCAGAATGCTCATTGAATTGTACAATGCACATTCATGCATTTCACTATGTGCAAATTTTACCTCAATAAAAATAAGATTGTAAGACAAAAAAGGCTTTAATCTTCATATTTTTATGAAATATATGAATTGAGATTGATAAATGTAATTACCATATTTATATTTAATATGTGGAAAGTTCACGTTGTTCTTATAAAACATAATTCAAGAATGTTAATTTTGATCAAGTTTAACTGTCCTTCCTTTTTTCTCCCTGTAGAGCTGCTCAGATTCTTGAGGGGTATCCTGTTCTTTATTACACAAGGTTTGTCCTTTTGAGTAGAGATATTAAAGCTTCCTGGTTGGTTTGAGGACAGTTCTTAAAATAGGGAGACTTGAATTGAACTGACATTTCTCTTTCAGATTTAGAGACTTGTTCAAAGCCAAGCTGGGGTTACTTGGAGAAAGGAAGGGTGATGACAATTTAATTGCATTTCTCTTACATGTGAGTTTGTCATTTTATCTTTTTTTTTCCGACTAACATTTGAATTACTAATCAGCATCTTCTTGAAGACTTGAGATTGATAAATTTAATTATTTTCATTAGCTCATGGAAAAGACAGAAGCTGATTTTACAATGACATTTCGGCAGCTCAGCGAGATTACTCAAAGCCAGTTAGAGGAGCTCAACATTCCCCAGGTAGTCATTTGTGACATTTGTTTTCTCTTAATTAAGTTTTCTTTAACAGATGTATTAAGGTATAATTTACATGCCATAAAATCCCACTGGCCTTAAGTATATAATGCAGTGATTTTTTATAATTTACAGATTTGGGCATTTATCACCGTGATTTTATTCTAGAACTGTCCCCCCATCACCCTAAAAAGAAGATCCTTTGTGCCCATTTGCCGTTAATCTCCGTTTCCACTCCTAGCCCCAAGCAGCTACTAATTTACTCTGTGTCTCCAGGTTTTCACTTTCTAGACAGTTCCTATAAATGGAGTCATACAAAATGTGGTCTTTTGCACTTGGCTTCTTCATTAACTGAGTTTTGTGGTTCCTCCATCTTGTCACTGTATCAGCAGTATTTCCTCCTTGTCACTCAGTGGTACTCCCACTGTGTGGCTATTCCATCTTTTGTTGATCCATTTACCAGTTGATGGACATTTGGGTCATTTCCACTTCTTTCCTATTGTGAATAAATACTGCTCTGCTCATGTACAAGTTTTTGTGTGAACATGTGTTTTTGTTTCTCTTGGATAGACACTAGGAGTGGAACCGTGTCTTACTAATTTTTATATCCGTCCCACCTGACAGTTCCCAGCACAGCACTGACGTTCTATAAATATTTACTGAATGAATTCATGGGTGACAAAATGAAATGCAGTTGCGAATTAAGTTTTTAAAAGTAAATTATATATTATTTAAAGGAAGGCTTTTGGATAATATAAGTACTCACGTGTAATCTCTGTAAAGACTTGGTTTATCTTAAATCATGCCATTACATGAATTTCCGTGAATTAGAATTTTAGAGTTGAAGGTTATATAAAGAAAAGAAAAACATATTCTATTTTAGTACTACTTCTATTTAAACTAGCATGTCTTAAAAAATCTGAATATTACAAGTTATTATTAAGGAACATAAAGTAACATGAAGTTAAAATAAACAACTAATATTTATATAATGAGCAGCCTATTACCACGTTTTCATTTAGCAATTCTGGGCACTGAAGATGATCTCAGAGCACCAGCTTTTCCCCGCCTGGGTATCCCAGTACCTTTTGAGACTGAAGAGGTAAGGTAATCTAACCACTTCTGAAAAAGCATGTGACATATTTAGCAGAGGCAACCCATCAAGTTTTCCTTCAACTTTCTAACATTTCCCTTTTTTTTTTAATTTTAATTTTTTAATTTAACATATAATGTATTATTTGCCCCAGGGGCCAACATTTCCCTTTTACTCCTGGGTACTTTGTACCTGCTGAGGTATCTGTGGCAACACCCCACCCATGAAGACAGCACTGGTCTGTTCACCTCAACTCTGATAACACTGCTTCCCCGGTGGCCCAGAGAACCCATGCCCCGAAGCCCTGAGGACAGCTCCCCAGGCTTCTAGCCAGTACCTATTAGTTGTCACATCGTATACCTTTGTGAGAAGTTACTTTGTGGGACACCTGGGTGGCTCAATGGGTTAAGCCTCTACCTTCAGCTCAGGCCATGATCCCAGGGTCCTGGGATTGAGCCCAGCATTGGGCTCTCTGCTCCGCAGGGAGCCTGCTTCCCCTTCCTGTCTCTCTGCCTGGCTCTCTGCCTACTTGTGATCTCTCTCTCTGTCAAATAAATAAATAAAAAAATCTTAAAAAAAAAAAAAGGAAGTTACTTTGCTTCATAAATTACAGTGAAGTAGAAGCAACAAACTTGGGAGTAAAGACATTGTAGGTCGCGGCTTCTGAAGGGAGAGATGGAGAGAAGGAGCCCTTCCCAGTTTAATTGCCCCTGAGGGCTGTTTGTACAGATGAACATGATTAATCAAGAAAAGGAAAAAATGGAATTATTTTCAGAACACTATTTAAAATAAAAGTATCAGACAATTTAGTTTTTTTTAGACAAAACTTTTTAATTTGTAAAAATAAAAGGTTTGGGATTAGCTAAAATAAACAAGGTAGTATTTTATATATTTTTTAATCAAACTCAGTATTTTCTATCTTCCTTTCAGACACTGATTCAATGTGATTTTTTAAAAAAAGATTTATTTATTTGACAGAGAGAGAGTGAAAGAGGGAACACAAGCAGGAGAATGGGAGAGAGAGAAGCAGGTTCCCCACTGAGCAAGGAGCCCAGTGTGGGTTTCCATCCCCAGACTCTGGGATCACCTCCTGAGCCGAAGGCAGTTGCTTAACCAACTGAGCCACCCAGGCGCCCCTCAATGTGATTTTTAAATGTTTTTCCCCAATATTTGTCTTGTGAAATAATTCCCATCCTTTTAAAAAGAAGATATGAGGAGACAATGGTTAATTTTGTCCTTTGTTTTATTCTTTATTAGTAACATGAATGATTCAGATTCTGAAAGAAGAAAAAGAATGGCAAGTGAGTAAACCTTTTGATTTTTTTCAACTTTAATGATTATCACATAAAAGCATGTAATTACTTGAGTAACAACTGATGGTTGTTTTTTGGTTTTTGTTTTGGGTTTGTTTTTTTTTTTAAGATTTTGTTTATTTATTTGAGAGATAGAGAGCACGAGAAGGGGAGGGTCAGAGGGAGAAGCAGACTCCCCACTGAGCAGAGAGCCGGATGCGGGACTCGATCCCAGGACTCGAGGATCATGACCTGAGCCAAAGGCAGTCACCAAACCAACTGAGCCACCCAGGCACCCTTTTGGCTTGTTTTTAACTAGAATAATTCTAGTTGAGTATATTTTAGTTGAGTTGAAGTGTCAGCTATGAGCTTTTCTAAATGACCTTTAACGGAGTATAACAGTTCCACTTATAATAAGTTTGCATATTGATGTTAAAAATAATATTGTCCTAAGAGATGGTAGAGAGACAAGGTAATTTGGGTTATGGTGGGAAGAATGTGAGTCTGGGGATCTGGCAGATGAATCTCATCTTGCCACCTTTTAGCTGTATGATCTGAAAGATACTTAACTCTGAGTTTCAAGGCCCTTAGCTATTATAAAATGGGGATATTTTGCAGCATTGTTATAATGATTGATAATGTATGTAAAGTTTGCTGGTACAGTGCATGGGCCATAATATACATCCAGTAAATGATGGCTCTAAAAAGGAATCATCTCTATATATCGATTTCAGTTTATCATGTGACTTCACACTTGGATTGGAGAAGAACAAAAAGGAAGTTAGTTCTTTCCACAGTGCGGATTCTAACGAGATCAAAGAAGTTCAGACAGAAGGTCCAAGGCCCTTGAGTCCTGTTGCCTTCCTTAGGACTCGTCTAGAGAACTAGTGCGTGTCGTCGGGGTGGCTAAACCGTGGGAATGAAATAAGGATGAAGCTCACATTCCACGTTACGTTACGGAATGAGATTCCTTCTTGAGCTCGGGGCATTATCATAGAAATAAAACCAAGTTTAGCTTTTACAGGGAAGTGAGTGATCTATTTGGGGCTCAGCATGGATTTCGTTGCCAGCCACCTCGTTGCCAACCACAGGTGCAGTCACACAGAATTCTTAAGCCAGCTCAGAATGTGGACACTCAGCAGTTAAGAGAAAAAGAAATCGAAAGACCAACATGTGGTGGCAGTCTTTAGTTTCTGGATTTGTTTGCTTATGGCAGGATGGATGAGGTGGTTAATGAAAAAATGTAATGAACTCAAGGCTGCAGCTTTCAGTTACTTTAGAGAAGTAGTAATGCTCAAACAGTGTGTTCTCCAGGAAGGGAGAAAGATAAATTTCCACAAAGAGCAATGGTCTGATAAAAGTTCATAATGACAGCTCCGTTATTTTTTTAAAGGTACACTTCCATGTATTACTATATATTTAATTGATATGAAAATGCAAATATGTAAGAAATTGCACAAATTCATGTAACAGTGTGTCCAGGGATGTGGAATTGAACTGAACAGGCATGAAGAAATAAAATATCTAAGAAGAGTGTCCAGTGTAGGAAGTCTTGTTCGTCATTTCCCTTACAGAGTCTTCATTTCTCACCTCTTGACCTGAGTTTCTTTCTTTTTTTTTTTTTTTCTGAGTTTCTTTTTTTAGAGGGGCAGCATGGCCTGGCCTCTGGGGTTGGACCAGCTGTACCTGAGTTCTGGTTCAGCTCTCTATTTCCTAGATGTTATTAAGTGGGTCACTTGATTCCTTCATCCCTCTTTTTCTCTTTCTGGTGTATATATATACTTTTTTAGTGGCTTTATTGAGGTATAATTTACATAACAAAATTCATTCATTTCTAGTATACAGTGATTTTTTTTAAACTAAATTAAAACTGTGCAATTGTGACAGTCCAGTGTGTGTGTGTGTGTGTTTAAAGATTTTATTTATTTGACAGAGAGAGACAGCAAGAGAGGGAACAGAAGCAGGGGGTGGGAGAGGGAGAAGCAGGCTTCCCACTGAGCAAGGAACCGGATGTGGGGCTCAATCCCACGATCCTGGGATCATGACCTGAGCCCGAGGCAGATGCTTAATGACTGAGCCACAGAGGTGCCACAACAGTCCAGTTTTAAAACATTTTTATCCATTTGACCTCACTTTTGTTTCCTCATCTGTAAAACGCATTTACATCATGGATTGTTGCACAAAATCAGGGAGATCGTAGTTGGCACATAATAAGTACTCAGTATGTATCAGCTATTACGTTAGTATAGAGTACATTAAATATCTTTGTTTAATAGACTGGAATGACTATGTTTTTTAGAAACCCAAAGACTAAAAATATATTGCTGTTGTATATTGTTTCAAAACATTTAAAAAAATCAATAGTAGGTTAGGGGAAGATTTTTTTTAAGTATCCACGCCCAACGTGGGGCTTGAACTCACGAGCCTACAGTTAAGAGTTGCATGTTCTACCAGCTAAGCCAACCAGGGATTCCAGGGGAAGATTTGCTTTAAATTTTTTTTTGAAATGCTCCAAGTTGCAAGCAAAGGGAACATCAAAGAGGAATGTTTTAGTCTTAGATTTAAAAAAAAAAAACAAAACTCTATAAACTTTATTATTTTTAAGCCTCCAAATAACTTTATGATCATAAGCCACCAAAGGGCATTGATCACTTCTCTTCTGTGTCACATAGTGCCCACCCAGCCCAAGAGCATAGTAAAATTTTGTTTAATAAATGCTCTTTATTCCTGTCATTACTGTGTCCTGAGAACAGCCATTGTGGCTCCCGCATTATATGACTGGGCTTATATTGCTGGGGGGAGGTTTTAAAAAGCTCTAAAACAGCCGCATCTACAAAAAAACCCAACTTGCATCCGCATAATTCTGCTTTCTTTGTGCCTAGCTGTGAATGTGTGACACATGCTCAGGAGAAACTTTGCTTGTCCTTAGAACAGGTGTTTTAGCACTCCAGGCCAAGTATGTTGAAATCCTGGGTGTGCGCCTCATTGGAAAATACAACCCCAGGCCTAGTTCGCAGACTTCCCCATCTGTCACCTTGCAAATGGCATGCTCACTGATCACGGAGAATGAATTGGCCCAGACTGGGATTGGCTCTGCACAAACTTCTCTTTGGGAAAAGAACACACAGAGAATGCTTGTATGATTGCAAGTCTGAGACATTTCCTTTGTGTGCTAAGGACTCTCGATAGAAATTAAGCAAGATCATTTGGGAATCGAGGTGAAAGTGCTCTCTGTTAAGGGGGTAGTATAAATTTAAACTGTGACCTCAAGTAGATATTTCAGACCTGACCTTTTGTAGATAATAGAATAAAAGAAAAATTTCCTTCTTAATTCTTCTTCCTGGACATTAAAAAAAGAGGGAAACAGAAGGAACAATGGAAGATGCTATATTTATAATAATTTTTCTCTTCAAGTATTTTAATAACTATTTAACAACGACAGTAAGATTTATTTTTATTGAGTTAAATAAAGGATAAATAGAACTACCATTTTCCAGTTGCATTGCCAGCCTATGAGAGATTAGTTGTGTTTAATAATTTGAAGAGTTTAGTGTTTTATGATCATCAAGTCTGCTGACTTTCTGATACGTTAATTTTTTCAAATTGGATGGTAGCAATGACATGCTTTATTTATATTATGATGTAGTCAGTAAATCATAGTTTTAAATCTCTTCCAGCACTAAATTTGCTTCTTCAGAAAAATGTACTCAGCCCCTATTATATGCCCCCCTTTTTGTACAGTCACTTTGTTCAAAGCTAAAACTACAAAGAGAATTTGAGACACCCCAGTGGATCAGGGAGTACCACGTTACAGGGAACTCTGGCAGGGTTTGTGTGTGGACATAATCTTCATAACCCACTGCTTAAAATTAAAAGTTGAGAAAGTTCCCAAGTAGGTAAAAATGTACAGAATCCGGGGCGCCTGGGTGGCTCGGTGGGTTAAAGCCTCTGCCTTCGGCTCAGGTCATGATCTCAGGGTCCTGGGATCAAGCTCCGCATCGGGCTCTCTGCTCAGCGGGGAGCCTGCTTCCTCCCTCTCTCTCTGCCTGCCTCTCTGCCTACTTGTGATCTCTGTCTGTCAAATAAATAAATAAAATCTTAAAAAAAAATTAAAAAAAGTACAGAATCCAATAACTCCTCAAAGAATCTTAAAAACAGATCTACAATTTTCTAATTTTCAAGTAGTTTGTATATTTATTTCCATATATATACAAATGCATATTTATATATTTATAACTTGGTCCAAAGCACTTCTGCTTTTGTAGCTGAGATTTCCAGTATGTTTTAACAATATTTCATTGCTAGGTTTCTATGAAAGTTTTGGTCAAACTTTTCACTGGAAAGCTCCACTCTCCCTCTGCCTATGCTAAGAATTTCCACAATTCCCTTTGCATGCTGGTTTCCTTTTTGTTTGTATGTATTTTCTATGTATATGTGTTTTATTTTAAACAAGTACTGTATGAATTCTTTAAAATTTGAAAAATGGAAACTGATAGACCAAAAAAAAAAAAAATCCCATTTTCCCAAACATAGTTATTATTTACTAGTCTCTCTTTTTCTGTGAGTATTGATTAGGAAAAAAATGTAGTAGTAATCATACAATGGTATAATTTACGTCTTTCTTTCTTTTGCTAAAAGTAAACAAGGCATTCTCTCATGCTTTTATAATGAAACATTTTTAACGGCTGCACAATATTTCTTAGAAAGTGTATGCAGTGTTTTATTCCCCTACTAAGTATTTAAAATGTTTCTAGTTTTCCTTAATATAAATAATAACTTTTTTTTAAAGATTTTATTTATTTATTTGACAGACAAATCACAAGTAGGCAGAGAGGCAGGCAGAGAGAGAGAGGAGGAAGCAGGCTCCCTGGGATCATGACCTGAGTGGAAGGCAGAGGCTTTAACCCACTGAGCCACCCAGGCGCCCCTAAATAGTAACTTTTTATGTTTAAGTCTGTTTTCATAGACTATGCTCCTACAGAATCACTGGGTCACAGGGCACTTCTTATCATATCATTAAATTATACGTCCTATCTTAGAAGATCGTTAAAACCAAGTTGAAAGAATTTGTATATTTCCTCCATTCAAGTAGCTCAAGCAAACTGTTGAGAATCACAAAATGATGATTCCTGGAGTCCACTCAGAATTTCTTTTGTGCTAGTGAGAAGTATCCCTCCTCTCCACTCAATGGATAAAATATTTTCAAAAAGGCTCATCTTAACTAAAGACATAGTTTCTGGAATTTTTCTAAATGTGCCATTATTATAATTCCTTTAAAATGACAAAATGCATGGTTACTCTCAAAAATATAAATTTATAAAGAGTTTTACCTGCATGTAACCTTTCATGTTTGCTCTTGTCAGCATTAACATCAAGCAGTCCTACTACGCCAGATCTGAATTCTGAGCTTAAAGATGTTAAAAGCAGCACCTTGTCTTCCCCAACCTCCACCTAGGCAAAAGGGCCTAATTCAGATGCCTGGACTACTTTCTTCATGCTTTAGGAAGTGCTTAGGGAACTGAACATGGTGAAGAAACCAAAGTAATGAAACACTGAAGAGAAAAACCAAACCCAGTATTGCTCGTAATGCTCCAAAAAGTGTTTTCTATACCATAGCAGCGTACATTGTTACAAACAATAAAAATGGACCGATACCAATCATTTCTTCTCATTTGTACCTTCCAGCGCCGTTCTTAAAGCTTATCTAATTTGGGGGATAATTTCATATGGCCTGTGTGGACATAGTAATTTATTGTTTCAAAACATACTTTTCCCCCTGAAGCTGTTAATCCTAGATATGTACTGAAGAACTGGATGGCAGAGTCCGCAGTGAGAAAAGCAGAAAGGAATGATTTTTCAGAGGTAAGATGTTTGAGTCTTCTGGCTTTATTTTTAGTAATTTAAATGTATTGTATTTTACGCACACTTATGTTGTTTGTAGACATGCTAAACTAGACCATTGCCAGTACCAACTTCCCAGAATTCTTGCTGCCTGGTCTCCCTTTTTTTGCTTTTCAGTGAATCTTCTTTTCTCATATTTTCTAATTTATTTTTTAATGGATTTAAAATTTTAGAGATTCAGTTTATCCTGTATCTGTATTCAAATTTCTGAGGGTCTGATTCTGCTGTTTATTGGTTATGTTTTGGACTTCTGGATTTCAATCTCTGAGATCCAGTGAAGCCTGATTTTTTAAAAGACTTTATTCATTTATTTGAGAGAGAGGGCATGAGTGGGATATGGGGCAAAGGGAGACGTGGGCTCCCCACTGAGCAGGGAGCCTGATGTGGGGCTTGATCCTGAGACCTTGGGATCATGACCTGAGCCGAAGGCAGATGCTTAACCAAATGAGCCACCCAGGTGCCCCAGTGAAGCCTGATTTAAGGGTGCATCTCTCCAGAGGGAATTAGCTTTTTGCTTCTAGCAGGTGTCCATGGCACGAGCCACGTGGGTCCACTAATCCTGACAGCAGTGAAGATGGGATGAACGAAATCTACATGAATCTGCCTGGATGAATCCCACATACAATGTTCGGCAAGACAAGCAAGTGGCAAAGGCATATGACAGGCACCCCTTAAATACAGTGTGAAACATGCAAAACTATACGCCACATAGGGAGGCATGCATAGATAATAAAAGTAACAACATGAATAAAGATGATAAACATCATCTTCGGACAGTGGTTACTTCGAGGTGAGGAAGAAATCTGAGTTAGGGAAGGAGACTCACTCTGGGCTCTAATGCTATTGGAAGTATCTGATTTCTGAAGCTGGCTGGAGGGTACACGGGGGTTCGTGTATTGTTCTGCATACCTTCTTGTACGCTTCAAGTACGTCATAATCAATTATTGAAAATGCAGTGCACATAATACATGTTTTAGAAGAGGACTGGCCTTGGAACTCATGCTGTCACTGTCCTGCACTGGAGTAGATGTTATCGATGCTCATGGCTCTCTTTCTGACACTGGTCCCACCTCAGAATCATTCCCACCACAGCATGTATGTGGTCACAACCAAGTGATCAGCGTTGGCATCAGAGAAACTGATGAGAAATCAGAGAAACTATTTTTGCTTTTTTATTTTTTAAAGATGTATTTATTCTAGAGAGAGTGCAAGAGAGCATGTGTGAGTGGGGGAAGGGGCAGAGGGAGAGAGAGAGAATCTCAAGCAGACTCCCCACTGAGCATGGAGTCAGATGTAGGGCTTGATCTCATGACCCTGAGATCAAGACCTGAGAGGAAACCAAGAGTTGGACATAACCGACTGAGCCACCCGGGGGGCCCCTTGTTTTCCTTATTTCTAATTTGGGACTTGCATTAACTTTTTATTTTAGTAGTTTCATTAGCCTGACAAATCTAGGTTTTTACTTTAGAAAACAGAACATTTTAAAATGTAATCTTTCTATGGTATTAAAGAGAAAGAGAAGGGAGAGAGCTCGTGTTTATCGTTAAGTCAGCCTAAGCTGAGAAGAGGAAACATTGTTTCATTAGCTGTCCCTTGGCTTCTTTCTCCTTCCTTCCCTATCTTTTGTTCCTTGTTTTCTTCCCTTCCCCCAAATTATATCTGAGCAAGGGTGCACTGCCCACCGTGGGTGGAGAGAGGTCTTTATTGGTTCAAGTGAACATTCAGATTCACAAGACTAACACAGGCTGCTCTCGGCCCCACCCAACTCACGGAGGACAGACAGGCTGACCAGCGGGGCAGCATCAGGCTCCCCATTTGCCGGAGGCCTGGGGTGACCCAGGCCAGCAGCTCTGCGCAGCAGCGAGGCTCAGGTGTGCAGAGACAAGGCCCACCCTGGGAAGATGCACGGGCAGCCCTGGCTTAAAACCTTCCTGTTCCATAGACACTCGTATCTCTTGTCACAGCTCCATAGGCATCGTTTCCAGTGTCCCCACAAGAGATCTGCCTTGTACAAGTCACCACACTAAACAAAGCCTGAAGCATTCTGGCAGGTATCTACAGACCTCCCATGCAGAAGCTGCTTGTCCGTCCTAAGCAATGCTATATGGTGATCTATGCGGTTGTCACACTGCCTTATCAAGTGACTAGGGGAGCAGATCTAGGAAGTTAATCAAGGGTTTAATTCTCATGCAGGGAAGGAAAAAGATTTTTTTAAATCTTTATACAGGGAACCCTTTACACACATAACTTGTATTTACCTGCCTGTATCAAACATTTCTTGAGAATCTATGTGAGGTGCTATGAAGAAGTATATAAAAATGCATTCAGAGAGATTTTTAGTTATAGCAAGTGAGATTAGATAGGTATAAAAGTAACTTCAATAAAAGGAGATGTATAGAAAGCACCTAGGGAAATTAAGAGAGACTCTAAGCACCTAGGGAAATTAAGAGGGACCGTATTGATTATGATGAGTCTTCCTATTTAAAATATTAGTAATACAGTAATACCCTCTATTTGATCTCTTGGTACTTTCTTAGTATAGATAATCATGAACCTTTTTCTGTCAGAACCAAGCGTTCCTTTGTCAATACCCAAGGAAATGACAAAACCACCAAAAAGCATATTTTACTTGAGGTATAGTTGACATGTAACATTATATTACTTTCATGTGTATGACATGATGATTCAATATTTGTATATATCGTGAAACTATGACCACAGTAATTCTAGTTAACATCACTATAGACGGTTACAAAATTTTTTTTCTTGTGATGAGTTCTTTTTTTCTCCCCCAGTGTTCCAAAATTCATTGTTGATACACCACACCCAGTGCTCCATGCAATACGTGCCCTCCTTAATACCCACCACCAGGCTCAGCCAACCCGCTACCCCTCCCCTCCAAAACCCTCAGTTTGTTTCTCAGAGTCCATAGTCTCTCATGGTTTGTCTCCCCCTCCGATTTACCCCCACTTACTTCTCCTCTCCATCTCCCAATGTCCTCCGTGTTATTCCTTATGCTCCACAAGTAAGTGAAACCATATGATAATTTACTCTCTCTGCTTGACTTACTTTGATGAGTTAAGATCTACTTTCTAGGAACTTTCAAATAGGCTCTACAGTATTATTAACTCTAGTCACCATGCTATATATTACATTCCCATGACTTATTTATTTTATAACTGGATAAAAATATGCATTTTGATCCTAGAATTATTGTTGAAAGAGATGTGTTCTTTGATGCCTCAGTCTATTACCAAGGCTCAAATTACAAATGAGGAAGCAGCATGAGTTGGAATCCATGCCCTTGATTTGGAAAGGCTGCAAACCACTGACATTCTTTTGTTTTTGTAAATATTTTATTTATTTTTTTTTTAAAGATTTTATTTATTTATTTGACAGAGATCACAAGTAGGCAGAGAGGCAGGCAGAGAGGAAGGGAAGCAGGCTCCCTGCTGAGCAGAGAGTTTAATGCGGGCTCTATCCCAGAACCTTGGGATCATGACCTGAGCGGAAGGCAGACACTTAACAACTGAGCTACCCAGGTGCCTTAACTCCACTAAGCCACCCAGGCACCCCTATTTTTGTAAATATTTTAGAAAATTATAATTCTCTTTATGCTGTAAAAGAACTTCAAAGTTATTGGGACATATATATGTAGTGTTTGTGACAGGGTATGTTTTGCTGTCCTGTTTTAGCACAAAACTAGTACTTCAAGGAACTTCTGTGGGATGATAGGAATTTTAAGTAACAGCTATAGCTGAAATCTTAATAAAACATAAAATGATTAAACATTTTTAAAGAAATATAAGTTTAGCCTTGTCATTCTGAGAATTTAGAAAACTGGTAAGGGTTCTGAGGAAGAAATCTGTATCTGTGTGCTTCTGTTGTTTGCCAGGTCCGTCTTCTCCAGCATGTTCTTCAGCATCCTTTCCAGAAGCATTCTGCCGCTGAGAAAGCAGGCTACGCCTCCCCCACTCCTTCTTGGGCTGAAGACCTCAGAGTTAGCTGCTCATCTTAGTTTAGGGTAAATAAATTAAGGAATACTCTGTCATTGAATTCGACATAGAATGATCTATTTGATAAATTCTTAATGACTATCTACATTTTGATGATAATGCCACATTTCATAAAAAGGATTATGATTGCAAATATTTTTTAATCATATAAACTGGACCTATTCTTTGGAATAACTTTGTGATCATTTTTGTTCTAATGAAGAACTTCAGTGGAATAATAAAATATGTTTGGCAACTGCGTGTGTTACTTTCAATAACTGAAAAGTCTTGTGGCAATCTTTTTTTTTTTTTAAATTTTATCTTTTATAAACATATATTTTTTTTCCCCAGGGGTACAGGTCTGTGAATCGCCAGGTTTACACACTTCCCCGCACTCATCATAGCACATACCCTCCCAAATGTCCATAATAACCCCACCCCCCCAATCTTGCGGCAATCTTTTAATGAACTTACAAGTATTCATTTAAGACATGCTACGTACCCAGTGCTGTGGGGCACATCAGATCAGTATGTAGTTTAACTGTACTCCTAGAGCTTTTTTGTCTGTTATGATAGTTTTCAAACATTAACCAAAGTAAAGAGAATAGTATAATGAACCTGATTTACCAGCCAGCTTCTTAATTATCAGTGCATGATCAGTATTATTTCATCTACATCCCTACACACTTCCCCTCATTTTTAGTTATTGTTTTAATTGAGGTATAATTTCTATATCCCCACATAAGTTCCTGGATGTGTTTCACTTAATTTACAAATATTTTTGTCTGCATCTCCAAACGTTAATGACTGAAAACACACACAATACCATTATCATACCTTAAGACAACTGAACAACTCCCTAATTCATCAAATCCAAGTACTAGTTTTTGGATTTTTCCTTTTATTTTATAAGTCATTATCACCACTATTATCATTTTATGGTTGCTTATTTGAATTGGGATCCAAGTAAGGACTATACATTCAAATTAGATGATAACAGCTCTTCTGTGTTTCTTTTGATACTTTTGGGTACAACCACTTGCATCTTCTTTTTCCTTCATTTTGGTTGAAGAAAGCCGGTCACCTATCCCAGAGTGTGTCCCAGAGTGTGCATTTTGCTAGCTGCATCTCGTGTTACTGTTTAACATGTTGTTCTGTCGCCTGTGTTTCTATAAACCCTCAATTTATTGGAGGAAGTACTTGCCATCAGAAGGCAACTGTGGGCACTTAAACCAAGTACAGATTGACTGTTTCTTTCTGTGATAACAGCAGCCACTGACGGTCATCTCCTGGACCCACTGATTCAATAAGGTTGTAAAATGAACATCTAATCCTATCATTCGTTAGCTGGAATCCTTCTATAAAGGAAAAGTTTCTATCATTAATTATTTGGTTATCCTGAGACCCCAAAAGGCAAAGAATTGGTTCCCAAGCATGCTCCAAAGACAGTCAGTAGGCTTGTTGATTGGTTTTAGTATCATGAACTCTTGAATTTAAGCACATTTTGTTTTGGACTGTTGCAGTTATTATCCTAACTGATGTACAAATTGTCCCCTGTGTGGCCAGCGAGGTTTTATTCACGACGGCTCCTCGTGTACACGTTCCTAGAAGGTTTTGATAACTTTGTTTTCTGATAGGGTAAGATGTTCCAGGTTCATTGTGCATATTTCTTGCCTTAGCCCTGGAGCCAGTCATTTTTCTAAGGAGACCTCATTCAGGGAAAATATATTCAGGGGAATGGGAATGATATTAGGGAAATGATATTAGAGATCACAGTTTAGATGCTGAATCCTTTGTGAATATTTGAAACTCCTTACAGAGCTTGTTAAATGATAGCCAACATCTGAGTTAAAACCTTCCTTAAAATTAAATGACATGAGCCAAGAACAAAAAAACCCAAATAGCAAAAAGATACATTATTAAAACGTAAAAAAGTCCTAACCTCTCAAAATTTTACTATTTTTTTGTTATTGTAATAATTGTTCATGTCAAGTAAATGCTCATGTAAAAATGTTTTAAATAAGTATATTGAAAAAACGTGGAAGTCATCCTTCACACTCTACTTCCCCTCTTTCCTATATCCATTCTGTATCCCAGAACAGAATGGATATAAAACAGAATGTTTTATAAGGCTTGTATCTCTTCAGACTTCTGCTGTACATG